GTAGTGTATATATGTGTGCATATATATATACATATACACACACACACACAAAACGTGGTGTGTATATGCATGCATACACACAAATGGAATGTTATTATGACTTAAAAAGAAGGAAATTCTGACACATGCCACAACATGGATGAACACTGAACACATTCTAAGTGAAAGAAGCCAGTCACGGAAGACCATGCATTGTATGATTCTATTTGTATGAAATTTCCAAAACAGGTGAGTCTACAGAAAGTGAGAGGTGGCTTCCTGGGGCTGGGAGCTGGGGAGAGCGAGTGGGCAGAACGGGGTGACCACCAACAAGGTTCCTTTCCGAGTAACCTGTAGAAGGAAGTTTAGCCTCATGTTGAGTAGAAAGTCACTCTCACCCCCGAGGTTCCTGAAGAATTGGGGCAGCATGAGTGTAAGTTCTGGGGTCCCCCAAGGCCCCTGGTAGAGAGGTAGGCGGCTTCTTTGCAGGGCCGCGGTGTCCCAGGGGCAGGTGGAGGCCGGTCCCTTCCGTCTGCAGCTCACGTCAGTCTCACTTGAGCCTGAGCCCTCCTCTCCTGAGCACAACAGGCAGACGCCAGCGCAGAGCCTGACCCACTCTGGGAAAAATGTGGCCGGCACAGCCGATGCTGAGTGGTGCTCCACTGGTCCCTGTTGAAGGTCAGATCTACGAGCAAGCGTTACCGCATCATTTCCTGCTGATGGGTGTTTTTAAGTGGCTCGGATTCTCCTCCCATTTTGGAGTCCAGGCACCTTGGTGGTGCTGGGATGGGAAGGTCCCTAAGACAGTGTTCTCCCCCAGCTCAGCGTAGAGTGGAGACACCAAGAGATACAGTCCAGGTGGTTACCTGTGTGGTGAGGTCCAGGAGACACAGTCTGGGTGGTTACCTGTGTGGTGAGGTCCAGAAGACACAGTCTGGGTGGTTACCTGTCCTGTGAGGTCCAGGAGACACAGTCTGAGTGGTTACCTGTATGGTGAGGTCCAGGAGACACAGTCTGGGTGGTTACCTGTGTGGTGAGGTCCAGGAGACACAGTCTGGGTGGTTACCTGTGTGGTGAGGTCCAGGAGACACAGTCTGGGTGGTTACTTGTCCTGTGAGGTCCAGAGAAACAGTCTAGGTGGTTACCTGTGTGGTGAGGTCCAGGAGACACAGTCCAGGTGGTTACCTGTCCTGTGAGGTCCAGGAGACACAGTCTAGGTGGTTACCTGTGTGGTGAGGTCCAGGAGACACAGTCTGGGTGGTTACCTGTCCTGTGAGGTCCAGGAGACACAGTCCAGGTGGTTACCTGCACAGCCACGGCTGGCTCTCTGGCTCATGACTTCCCTTAGTGAGATTAAAACCACTTTCTTTCCACGCTGTTCTATCCAAACCTGCAGCAGGTGATCAACTGGATACCCCCTGCCACTGGATGTCCAGGTGGACCTGGCTCCTTCTGCTCCCTTCATGATCTTCTTTCCCCCACTCTCAATTCACACTACTTTACCATCTTATGGGTTGATCTACGCCTCCTGAGTTGAGGATAGTTCCCTGGGAGCCCCTACCTGGAGGAGCACCCGCACCTGGACCCCAGACGTCTCAGTGTGTTCAGTGGTGGGGAGGAGTGGACGGGAGGGTCCCCGAGCCAGCAGGGGTGAGCTGGTACCGTCAGCCACCCAAAGACGCCCCCATCACAAAGCAACAGGCCACGTTGGTGCTGGGGTCAGTCCAAATCGCTTGCTAAGGTTGGTCTTGCTCAGTTATTTTGCTCACAGAATTAACTTAAAGGCCAAAGGACACTAGGAGGTAGCAACTGAGAGCGTCTACTAGGCTTGAGCCAGATGTGCCGTGACACTCTCGCCAGAGGGAAATAAGGATGTCGGCTGAAGTTCTCATTCCGGAAAGAACCCAGGGATTGCAGGGGGCGGCTGTAAAGGATCCCAGCATGACCTTCTGGACTCTGGTGGAAAATAAAGGACTTAGCAGGGACCAGGAACTGTGAGTGCGACTGAGAAAATGTCGTCAGTCGGAGCTGAGCATCAAGCCGTTAGGAAACGATTCCTTTTGCTAAGAACAGCCCCACAGAGGCGGCCTCGGGCTTCCGTCCAGGTGGACAGACCATCGAGACAAGCCGCAGAGGACTCACAAGACAGAGTGACACGAGATCAACCAAGCAAACCGAGAGTGGTGGTGTCCGGAGACTCAGCCTCGTGCTAGGGGTGGTGCAGGACGCACAGCGGGACAGCACTTAGAAAGGTCTACACCCACGCACAGGCGCACACACGACACACGCACAGTCTAAGGGAGGGCTCTGCGGGGCGAGTCCCTCGGTTACCTTGTATCTGACCTGCCATGGTCACATCCTGCGATATTCCTGCAACACTCTGATTCCACACGGCCAGGTTGGTCCTACACGCCCCATCCACTCATCCACCCACAGCGCCGGCCCCCAGCCAGCACGAGACGGTCTTGAACGCGAATCGGAGGGGAGGAGGGCACAGAGGCACTTACGGTAACCTGGCGCTGCGTGCAGACTGCGTTCTACTGGTTTTCACGTGTACAGGGTTTATTTTTCCATAACCGTTAGGCTGAAGGTCAGTGAACATGCTACTGCTTTCCAAAGACACAGGCATAAGAATTCTCTCATCTTCGACAAAAGGGAGCTGTCCGGTGAATGACGACAATTTGGGCTGGAACAGTCAACCAGCCCTACTTCCCGGGACACAGGCCCCTGCGACTGAGCTGTGAGAAAGGGTCGGTCCGCACACAGGACTCACGCCGTCTGACCCGAAGTCACCAATAATCTGAACACTTGCAGCAAAATGTGAACAAATATATTTGGATATATTTAAAAGGATTAAAAAAACATTTCACAAAACATTTGTTGCCATAGGAATTGTTTTTAGCCATAAATGCCCACATCAAAATTCAAACATTGTTCAAAGTACGGTCACCTGTACTAAGTTATGCGACAAATCATGTAAACAGAGTCAGATACGTTAGTTTCGCTGTAGGAGTCACTTCCTTCCTGGGGCTGCAGCCGTCCCAGACATCTTTCCAGGGGACCAATTAAGAAACTGCTATTCAGAGCAACAAAAATAAAAGCTTTTATTTGTTCATTTGAATATAAAACAGGCGTTATCACAGATGTACAAAGCATACTGGTGGTTTAACATACAAGAAGGTTGCTGTCCTTTGCACATAAAAATTTTGTTTGAAACCGTGATTGGCCGAGTACATGAATTTCTCTAACCAGTCACCACACTCTGAAATAACGCTGCTAACATTCAACTGATAGAAGGGACCGTTTCCCTTGGGTAAAGTGTCAAGCAGGATTAAATATATATAATAAACAAGCACCATGAGGAATCCGCTTCTGTTTGATCAGGTTTGTGTCTATGTGTTCAGTGTGTACCCTCTTTTTGTGCAGGTTGGTTACACGGTTTTGTCTGACTTCAAAAGCACAAGGTCACAAGACAAACATTTTTTTTTTTTTTACATTCTCATGAATGATTTATCTACAGTACAATTTCTAATACAGAACGATCCTCCTTTATTGCTGAACCTGGTGGTACTAAAAGTGTCTCCTCTCCTTTTTCTTGCACAACTAAACTTCGATCCCAGCCCACCAAATTTTTTGAACCTAAACTCTAACATCAGAGACGACAGGGTGCAGCAGAGACGTGCTGCTGCCGTCTCACACCCGCACTGCGACACCCGCACTGCGGCACCCGCCCTCCTGGCGTGGGGAGTTGGCACGGCGAAGGCCTAAACCGAGTCTGAAGTGACATCTGCACTTGCCCGCTTCCCGACTCGGAGCTGGACCTCAGCAGTTTCGCTGCACGCTGCACTGATGTCTGGTGATCGTTGTCTTACCCGAAACCTCACGCCTACTTCCTTTATACCAGGTGGGGTGTGTAAGAAAACACCTTTTTCTGTGTGGTGGTTTCCCCCGTAGGAAGCAGAAGGCCAGGAACGTGTGTCTGGAGCATGTGGAGAAATACTCGCACAGCAATGAGGTCAAACTATCTTAAGAATCGAATGGTTTGTGGAGATGGAAGGGGCACCGTGTATGCAAACAAAGGTAACGAAATGTGCCACTTTTTTTTTCTTAACAATCAGCCTTGGATCTCAGAAGTCAAACAAAACGCTTTTAGCAAAGGGCTCCCCGCTGCCTGCACTCGGCAGACAAGGACGCCGCCCGAGATGCAGAGAGAGAGAGTCCGGACCGTGCCCAGCGGCATCTCAGCCGCTCATGCCTAGTGCCGAGAGCCGCTGCAGGGTCCTGGCAGGGCGATGATAAAATAAACCTCTCGGATTGCTGATACCTCCCCTCCTGGGTCAGCTGCGGACAGGCCAACTTGTTCGGAAGTGCAGAGAGCAGCTCTGGAGGGTGAGGCTGCTGCGGCAGAGACAGAACCCCAGGGCCGTGCTGGGAGGACTTCCTGCTCCAGCCGGGGGCTCCTGCCATTCCCTGGGGGTCGTGCACCCCACGAGGGGACGCCGGAGACCAGGGGCTCACACCGAGTCGGCTGGGTCTTAGGACAAGGGGACAGTCCCCTCCACTCTGGCCATCTGAGGGGGATCAACACAGCCGTGCAAATGACCACAGAACGTCCTCCTTTGCACACCTGGGACCAAACAAGGTGACACTAACGAAAACGATGAAAAACACTGTGCAACGAATGCTTGCAGCTAAGAAAACAGTGCTGTCCGCCAGCCGAAGCCCCTCGAGTGTGGCCGGCGGGTGCTGGCACGAGCAGTCCCCGCCGTCCCCCGGGGAAGGAGAAAATAGTGCACATTCGGCTCGGATCGGCCCCGGCTGTCTCTGGCCCTAGAGGAAGCTTCCGGAAGGCGGCCGGTCGCCGGGGACTGCTCGTGACAGAGTGCGTGTGAGTTCGGGGAGGGCACACCATGCACGTGACAAGCTCTGCGTTTTAAACTTTAAAGTCTCCTTTTCATTAGTGAATTTATATTTCATATATATATTTGTTGTGATACTATCCACGCAAGATAATACAACACTTTTTTTATATTAGCAAACATTACAAGACTTTAATATTCTTGAATGTTTTTTTCTCTTTTATACTTCTAAAGAGATCAAAATAAATTAAACGTTTTGTACATAATTACATATTGAGGAAGTTAACTTATTTTTATCTTTTTAGTTTAGTACAAAGATATTTGCAAGATAATTGCCGAAATACACCTTATTTATAATTTCTTCTCGTTCTATGCTAACTTCAAAGGCCATGTGTCAGCCTTTGCTTCTTCAGCACATTTCTGACAAAGAAAGCTGCTAAAATCTAATTGGAAGGTGCTATTTGGAAGGTTTTCTCGTACCTCAATAAACTTTCCTAAAAGGATGAGATCTAGCAATGGCTTAAATTAGTGACAGATCCATGTCATCAAGGTTCCATGACACATTAAAAACAGAGAAAACAATTCTTTGCCACACTACATAAAATTGTTTAAAAGAACCCATCTGGAGGGCAGGATCTCTTTTTTTTAATTGCTATTTCGGCTTAACAAAATACCACATTTACGAAGAAAGCACTTATTATCCAATAATTAGAAAAAAAAAGAAAAGAAAAGAAAGTCTTTGAAATGGGCTTTTCCATCCAACAAACTGAAGGCAGTAAATCCGAGTCCTTCTGAGCAGATCCAGCGGTGCGTTCACGTCTCGTCTCCACGCCGACGCGGCTGCGGCGAGTCCTCCTCCCTCGCCCGTCCCGCCCGCGGGCCGACCTCGCCCGCGCCTGCACGCCCGGCGGACGCGGGAACGCGCGTCTCCGCGAAAGTCCACGGGAGCCGGGCGCGGCTACATGTTGTAGGCCACGTAGATGGGGTCCAGCTGGTCGGCCAGGAAGCCGTCGCGCAGGTGCATGCGCTGCTTCTCGCCGCGCGAGTTGATGGGGATGACGCCGATGTCCACCACGACCACCACGCCCACGATCAGGTAGTGCTCCTCCAGGACCACGTTGGTCACCAGGGGCACCAGGTCCAGCGCCTCCTGCTCCGACCCGTCCAGCTCCACCACCACCACCAGCAGGTTGGTCCAGGTGAACACGGCGCTGAAAGACAGAAAGAGACAGCGTTACGCAGCCAGGCCCGGCACACGGGGAGGGTCTCTTCCAGAAACCTCCACCTGCTGACCTCGCGCCTGCCTGAGGGTCCCGACAGCCGCGCCCGCAACCGTCCTGGCAAAGCGCCTCCACCGGCGCTCTCTTCTGGCCTGCGCGCACGGGCCGCCTCTTCCTGCGTGCTCCGCTTCTGCTCCTCAGCGAGTCTGTGCTCCCGTCCCGCCTCTCCGCGGCTCCGGAGGACTCGGCCCTCACCCAGGACAGGGCGCCGGGGGCACTTGCCTGCGCAGCAGCCCTGGGCCTCGGCGTCCAGCTCCCTGCGCCGCTGCTGGGGGGGGTGGCTCCAGTCCCCATCCGCGCCCCACGTCCTAGGCTGGGCTCTGCCTGGAGCTTGTCCGCACGTCGGCCGGGGTGGGCCAGTCCCCATCCGCGCCCCACGTCCCCGTCCTGGGCTCCGCCTGGGAGCTTGCCGCACGGGGCCGGCCGGGCCATCCCCATCCGCGCAACCGTCCCCGTCCTGGGTCCGCCTGGAGCTTGTCCGCACGTCGGCGGGATGGTGCGCATCCGCGGCCACGTCCCCGTCCTGGGCTCGCCTGGAGCTTGGTCCGCACGTCGGCCGGGGTGGCTCCAGTCCCCATCCGCGCCCCACGTCCCCGTCCTGGGCTCGGCCTGGAGCTTGTCCGCACGTTGGCCGGGGTGGTGCCAGCAGCGGCTTGAGAAGTGCGGGCCCGCGGCTCGTCCTCAGGGGCCTTTGCCACTTCGAGGACAGGGACACGGCTGGGCTGTCCCTTTGGTCCTCGTGGAGAAGAGCCGCTGGGCGCACCCAGGCCAGGCCCGCCAGCCACAGACGGGGGATGCGTCACGGGTCCCGTCTATAGTGCCGAGTTCGGAGATGGCCAACGCGGCAGGAAGACCCGTCCAGAAGTGTGTTATTTGGCATCCAGACGTCCAGCGGGAAGCGCACCCGGCGTGTTCAGTCTGCCCGACTGCCAGAGGCACAAACCCGGCACTTTACATGTTAAACCACATGAATTTGGCTTTTAGAACTGGCTGTTTAAGGCTGTGGTCCCCAATCCCGGGCCCCAGCCTGGTGCTGGCCAAGGCCGGTGGGAACCGGGCGCACAGCAGGGGGAGCCGGGGCCAGGGGGAGAAGCTTCGCCTGCACTGACAGCTGCTCCCCACCGCTCACGTCCGGCCTGAGCTCCGCGTCCTGTCGGGTCAGCCGGGGCATCGGATTCTCACCGGAGCACAACCCCCCTGTAAAGTGCACACTCGAGGGACCCAGGCTGTGACTCCTTGTGACGATCTAACGCCTGGCGATCCGAGGTGGAGCTGAGCGGTGGTTGGCGCTGGGGTGCGGCTGCAAATGCAGACTGTCGTTAGCAGAGAGGCTTGACTGCACAGTGAGTGCAATGAGCCTGAATCATCCTGAAACCTCCCTGGCCTGTGGAAAAACTGTCTTCCATGAAACTGGTCCCCAATGCCAAAAAGGATGGGGACCGCTGGCTGAAGGACCCTGACACTCACAGACCTCGGCACCCGGGGTCTGCTTAGCTGCGGTGGTGGAGGTCCCGGGCAGAGGGCGCTGCGTGGACACCGGGCTCCAGGCTGCTGGTTTCCGCTGTTGGGCCCTGACAGCCACGCCCACTCCAGCTGAGGCGTGCGTTCTGGGAGACTCACTGCCGTGTTCAGTGTGGACAGGACACACTGGAAGGGCAATCCGGCTCTCTCCAGCTGGGGGCGTGCATTCTGGGAGACTCACCCGTGTTCAGCGTGGATGGGACACGCTGGAAGGAAAGGGCAAACCAGAGAGCGAGTTGGGCTGCTCCCTCCTGGGCTTTGCTCTGCGGCAGCTGCGTAACCAAGGAGACGACCCCGCTGAGAAACGTTTCCAAGACGGCGTGGCACTTAATCCCCACACGTGGCTCCTGCGATGTCACAAAGGTGCTCCGCGTGGCTCACGGGAGCCGTCCTGCGAGGCCGTGATACTGCACTGCACGGCTCTCTGGCACTCGGCGTGGCTCCACTGTGACACTCGGAGTTCACGGCTCTCTGGCACTCGGCGTGGCTCCACTGTGACACTCGGAGTTCACGGCTCTCTGGCACTCAGTGTGTCTCCACTGTGACACTCGGAGTTCACGGCTCTCTGGCACTCGGTGTGTCTCCACTGTGACACTCGGAGTTCACGGCTCTCTGGCACTCGGCGTGGCTCCACTGTGACACTCGGAGTTCACGGCTCTCTGGCACTCGGCGTGGCTCCACTGTGACACTTGAAGTTCACGGCTCTCTGGCACTCGGTGTGTCTCCACTGCGACACTCGGAGTTCACGGCTCTCTGGCACTCGGCGTGGCTCCACTGCGACACTCGGAGTTCACGGCTCTCTGGCACTCGGCGTGGCTCCACTGCGACACTCGGAGTTCACGGCTCTCTGGCACTCGGTGTGTCTCCACTGTGACACTCGGAGTTCACGGCTCTCTGGCACTCGGCGTGGCTCCACTGTGACACTCGGAGTTCACGGCTCTCTGGCACTCGGCGTGTCTCCACTGTGACACTCGGAGTTCACGGCTCTCTGGCACTCGGTGTGGCTCCACTGCGACACTCGGAGTTCACGGCTCTCTGGCACTCGGCGTGTCTCCACTGCGACACTTGGAGTTCACGGCTCTCTGGCACTCGGCGTGGCTCCACTGCGACACTCGGAGTTCACGGCTCTCTGGCACTCGGCGTGGCTCCACTGCGACACTCGGAGTTCACGGCTCGTCCGCGTGGCTCACGGGAGCCGTCTTGCGAGGCCGTGATACTGCACTGCACGGCTCTCTGGCACTCGGCGTGGCTCCACTGCGACACTCGGAGTTCACGGCTCGTCCGGGCATCAGGCCAGTCTGGCGCGTGCAGGTGGCAGAGCAGGGGAGGGACGCGCTCTGCCGTCTCCTTGGGTGCCAGGGTCTGTGGCAGCCGCAACGGAGCTCTCCCTGGCGGTGCCGGCTGTTCCGACCCTGGGAATCAGCTGACGGGATGTGCAGAGACCCGGCCGGCCCGGATTTGGCAGCGTGGAAACCGGCGCGTTCGGGACGCGAGGTGCCCATGCCACGGCGTTTCCCCTCGGGGCGGGAGGGGAGGAGGAGCCCGAGCGAAAGCGCAAAGCGGTTTGCAACCGCAGGCTCCTGACTTGTCAGAGTCTGTCTGGGTGAGAACACGTGCTCTCCCTGTTCCCGGCCCTCGAGCAGGCGAGCGAGCCTCTGGCCACGGGGACAGACCAGGCCAGTGGCCGCGCGGCCGGCAGCCCCAGCCACGCAGGGTGAAGACGAGGGCGCGTGGACCCAAGGCCATGGGGACACGGGGAGGCCCCAGAGCCACTTTCATGCACAGAAAACACTCGAGAGGCGTCATCAAAGCCAATTATTTTCGTAAAAATACAAAGATGGGAGGCCGTGAGTGGCATCTGTAGGTATTTAGACGGAAAACGAGGCGGTGCCTGTGCCCGGCGCCCAGGCTGGCTCTCCCCGGGTTTCTGTCCTACCTCCACAGTCAAGTGCAGAGGAAACGCCGACGACCTGAGAAATTCTGTCTGAACCAGGACGACTTGCCGGTGAGCAAACGCCATCTCACCTACTCTGGATGCTTGGACCAGCCAACGGCCAGGGACACCCGCCTGCCCACCGCAGACCGGCCGGCCAGCAGGAGGCGCTCACGGCCACAGGACCCGCCCTCCCCGCCCAGAAAGTGCTCCCGAGAGATCTCGGAAAGGGCCTCCCTCGAGGGTCCCGACCTGAGACTGAGGCTGGTTTCACCAGGTGACGCTCAGCGGCGCCTTGTCTGCTCTCAAAGGAGTAAATCTGAGGCCGCTGGAATTGAGCAGCTTCTCGTTTTTGGTGTTTTTTTTTGAGACAGAGTCTCGCTCTGTCACCTAGGTAGAGCACACAGTGGGGCCATCACGGCTCACTGCAGCCTCCAACTTCTGGGCCCAAGTGATCCTCCAGCCTCGGCCTCCCAGCGTGCTAGGATTACAGGCGAGAGCCACCTTTCCCAGTATGTTGCTTTTACGAATGAAAAGTAGGCCAGGCACGGTGGCTGCCACCTGTAGTCCCAGCTACTCAGGAGGCTGAGGCAGGAGGATCGCTTGAGTCCAGGAGTTGGAGGTTGCTGTGAGCCAGGCTGACGCCACGGCACTCCAGCCTGGGTGACAGAGTGAGACTCTTGTCTCAAAAAAAAAAAAAAAAAAAGGGCAACATAAAGACCCTGAGCAAGCCCTCAGGACTGGCTGACTCAGCCCCTGAGCCCGGTCTACAGGCCTCCCCAGCACATCAGAGAATAGCAATAAGCGGCCCTGAGAAGCTGCCATTTCTCACAACTCAGCACTTCCCAACGGGTTCAGGGGGCCACAGAGAAAGACAGAGTCCCCGCCTCTGGGGGGGACACCCAGTCGTCACCTGTCGGGGCCCCTCCCCCCAGATGGCTCCTCACGACGGCTCTGCTTTAATTCAGATAATTCTTCCTCTGGCACGTATCTGGGAAGCTTGGCCAGAACCCTGCCTCTCCTGCGACCTCGAGCTTTCCCAGGTAGCGAGGTTGCCACCGTTGCCAAGGCAACAGCCATGAAGGCACTGTCTGTGCCTATGGGTGCGTGAGCTTGGTCTCCTTCCCACACTGCGCTTTTGCAAATCACACAACTTGGCCTCCCGGAACACGCCAACAGGTGTGATGCTGTCACAGCAGCAAACGCCTGTCGTTCCACGTAACCCGCGACCCCGACTCCGCGCGAGGCCCCTCGGCCGCGGAGCCCCAGGGGGAAGGTGCGCGTCCCGCCCTCCGCCCGCAGAGCCCGGCTCCGACTCACCACTCCGTGACGCTCTTGTGGGCCCTGATCACCGAGGTCTCGATGTCGATGGGGTGGTAGCGCATGCCCCGCAGCTCCATGGCCTCGTCCAGCGCGCCGACCACGTACAGCGCGTCGTGGCGCTCTGTTCGGGAACGAGAGGTGTGAGCGCCTCCTGGCCGCGCTGCCCGAGCCCCCTCTTCTTTCAGTGACGGGAAGCCGCCCTGAGGGGACACTGATCTGGGGGCGGCTAGTTCCCTCTGCAGGAGGCTCCCGAGCCACCACCACAAGCCACAGCTGCTGCTTTAGAAGACAACCTTCGGCCGGGCGCGGGGGCTCACGCCTGCCATCCCAGCACTCTGGGAGGCCGAGGCGGGAAGATCGCTCAAGGTCAGGAGTTCGAGACCAGCCTGAGCAAGAGCGAGACCCCATCTCTACTATAAATAGAAAGAAATTAATTGGCCAACTAATATATACAGAAAAATTAGCCGGGCATGGTGGCGCATGCCTGTAGTCCCAGCTACTCGGGAGGCTGAGGCAGGAGGATCGCTTGAGCCCAGGAGTTTGAGGTTGCTGTGAGCTAGGCTGATGCCGCGGCACTCACTCTAGCCTGGGCAACAGGGCGCGACTCTGTCTCAAAAAAAATAAATAAAAAATAAGACTACGACCTTCGATTGGATCAGCATCTGGACGCTGCTAACACATGGCCACGCACCCTCCGCCACCACCTGGGGCCGAGTCGGCCTGGTCAGCGCCCAGAGGCCTGCATCCCATGGCCGACGCACGTGGCCAGAGTCCCCTGAGGCCCCACCCACGTGGGCCACGCAGTACGGCCCAGATTCCACCCCTTCCCTCCGACCCCGTCACGGCAGGTCTTCACTGGGCACCTGCTGATGCCACGTGTGGGCGGGAAAAGAAAGCTCGGTTTCTGGCAATGCTCGCCAGGGAAGGTTTCCTTAGTTCGTGCAGGCACGAAATCTGCTTTTATCCTTCATGCAAACCTCGGGACAGTGATGGCAACGTGCAGCCAGCCCTCTCTCTCCTTAACAATTAGAAAATATGTCCTTGATTTTTATAGGGTAATAAGTACATCAGGGAAAATTTGAAATACATGACTGACAAATAAAATACCTGACAAATAAAATATAAAATCTTTTAAAATGTGAATCAGAAAAGACGGAGACATTTACTTGTTGGCTTCTGCTCATGATGGGAGTGTCATCTCTCCTCCCACAGTTAGGGATTCGATCTCTCAGTGGCCAGGCGTGGCAGCCTGCTGTCCCAGCCCCCCCACCCCCGGGATTCAGCTGGATGGAACATTCCTGGCCTTCCTGGGGGGGCGGGAATGAACTGCTACGAATTTTACATCTCCAAGCTCAGCTCTTCACAGGGACCTGAGATACTCACATTCATCCAGATTTCCCACAATGCAAATATTACGCCAGAATATTTCTGCCGTTTTTTCCTACATTTAGCCCCTGTTGGGCCAGGCTAGTGCAAGTGTGTTAGACGGTTATGTTAGGAACCCCCGCTGACATCTAGAAATTCATCTCCCTGGGACTTTGGTCAGGCAAGCGCTCACCAAGAGCCTTGGCCACCATCCTCGCAAAACAGCCATGTGCTGCCTCTAGTTTTAGTGGAATGAAAGAGGTGAGGGAGGATTCTGGAGCCAGCAAAGAATACAACACACAAGCGCACTTGCACGTCTCACCCCTGCCTCCCGCAGACACCGGAAGCGGCCACCTCCCTCGCTGCCCCACACTGGGCACGGTGACCACAGCAGGGACGGCCCAAGAGCCTCACGCCCCCCCCCCCCGACAGAGACCTCGTCCTGGAAGCTGCAGCGTGCATGCTCCTGCAGCCGCTGGCCGGCTCCTGCCTCAGCCGGACCTGCAGGGAGCCGCTGTGCTGGGGAAACGCTAATGCCTGCGCCTTCTGGGCTCCTCCCCGGCTCACGCCTGCTCCTGGCTCTTGGGAGAGTGCAGGGTGCCCGGCGCACGGCCCAGCTCACGGGACACGTCTGCATCTTGCTTCCTTCTCCCTCCCACCCAGCCGTTCCTGGCTGGTTTGCAGCCGGCACACGCGACCTCTGGGCCTGGCCGCCCCAGTGCCCAGTCACACGTTCTCTAGGGGAGCCTGACCTCTGCCTGGGGGTGCGGGCGGCCTGGGCTCTCACCTCCATTCGCGTCTGTGAGCTCCGTTCTCCGCAGGAACCCCAAATAGCCCGTCCGTGCCCAGATGGTCTGAGTGTCTCCAAAACTTAGCCTTGAGCTGAAGTGGTCCGACTGGAGGGACTCGTCTCCGTAGATGGTGAAGTAGCCGCTGGCGTTGTGGGCGCTGTGCACCCAGATCTGTGAGTGGGGGAGACGCCACGGGGGTTAGCTGCAGACCGCCCCCAGGAAGGGAGGCCAAGACCACGCTGACAACCCAACGTGTCATATTCAAAGGTATTGCAGTTTTCTTGGACTGAAAAATCAGGATGAAGTTCATCTCATTCAGGTTTCTGGAGAGGCATGCAGAAATTACTAGAATAAAATCACTAGGGCAAGTCTAAGGCAAAGCCACCCACCTATCAGGAATTTTATTAAAGATTAATCGAAGATGTAAAAAATTGTTTTTAAAAATAAACACATCGAATAAATAGAGTTGTACTACTTCCCTTGCCCTTTTCAAAATGTTTTGATTCGTTTTTAAAGAGCAATCAAGAAAAGTATTAAAAAGCTCTAAGATTTCTTTTTTCCCTTTCCCCTGGTTAGCGTATATTTGGAAACATGCTGCAATAAAACACCACAGAGCAAAATCTAAAGGGGAAAGGCTTACAACATCAAAAAGCGGGAAACAGGGATTGCATCGAATCTGTGGATCACTTTGGGTAGTACGGTCATTTTAACAATGTTGATTCTGCCTACCCACGAGCATGGAATGGTTTTCCTCTGCGATTTCCTTCCTCAGTGTTTTATAGTTCTCCCAGTAGAGGTCTTTTATCTCCTAAATATATTCCTAGGTACTTTATTTTCTTTGTTGCTGTTGTGAAGGGTAGTGAGTCTTTGACTATTGTTGCTGTGTAGGAATGCTACTGGTTTCTGTACATTGATTTTCTAACCTGAGACTTCGCTGAATTTATCAATTTCAATAGTCTCACAGCAGAATCCTTGGGGTTTTCTAGATATAAGATCCTATCACCAGCAAAGAGCAATAGTTTGACCTCTCCTGCCCCCATTTGGATGCCCTTGATTTCCTTTCTCTTATCTGATTGCTCTGGACTTCCAGCACCATGCCGCACAGAAGTGGTGGCAGAGGGCAGCTTTGCCTGGTTCCAGTTCTAAGTGGGAACGCTTTCAATTTTTCCCCATTCAGGTATGATGTTGGCTGTGGGTTTGTCATATATGGCTTGTATCATTTTTAGGTAAGTCCTGTCTATGCCTATTTTGTTAAGTGCTCTTATCATAAAACAGTGCTGAATTTTTGTCAAATGCTTTTTCTGCATCTATTGAGAGGATCATATGGTCTTTATGGTCTTTACTTCTATTTATGTGGTGAATTACACTTACAGATTTGTGTATGTTGAAACATCCCTGCATCTCTGGGATGGGGCCCACTTGGTCATGATGGATTATTTTTTTGAAAAGCATCTGGATTCGGTTTGCTAGGATTTTATTGAGAATTTTTGCATCTATACTCCTAAGGGATATTGGTCTACAGTTTTCTTTTTTTGATGCATCCTTTCCTGGTTTTGGTATCAAGGTGATGTTGGCTTCATAAAACATGTTGGTGAGGATTCCTTCCTTCTCAATGTTGTGTAATAATTTCTGCAGGATAGGCACCAGTTCTTCTTTGTAGGTATGGTAAAATTTGGGTGCAAAACCATCTGGTCTGAGACTTTTCTTTTTAGGAAGGTTTTTTATTGCTGCTTCAATTTTGGTACTTGATATTGGTCTGTTCAGGAGTTCTATTTCTTCCTTGTTGAGCCTAGGGAGGCTGTGCATTTCTAAGAATTTGTCCATTTCCTCATGTTTTCAAGTATATGTGCACAGAGGTTTTGATAATATTCACGGGTGATATTTTGTATTTCCGTGGTATCAGTTGTAATTTCTTTTTCATTCCTGATGAAGCTTCTTAGAGGTCTTTCTTTACTGCTGCTCGTTAATCTAGCAAGAGGCATGTCAACTTTATTGTTTCAAATAACCAACTTTTTGTCTTATTAACCTTCTGGATAGATTTTTTGTTATCAGTTTCATTTAGTTCTGCTCTGATCCTTGTTATTTCTTTTCTTCTGTTGGGTCTGGGTTGGTTTACTCATCCTTTTCCAGTCTTTGAGACGACTCATCAGATTTGCCACTTTTCTAGTCTCTTCACTACCATTTACTGAGGCTGCCATTGTTCTAGGGCTCCTCGGTGATCAAGGCAGGGTGTGGAGAACAGATGTGAGAGCCGGGAAACCAGGAAGCAAGTCCACACGTGGTTTTTATGTTTCCTGAATTCTTTGAAGAGAATCTCTCATATTTCCTCCTTAAGGAAATCCCATTTTGCATTTCTGCACTTTCATGGAATCATTTAAGCAATAAAGCTCATCTCACACCATTTCCCAGCCGGGCGTGACTTACCCACCATAGAGAGCGTGTGCTGCAGATCGGTGCGTGTGGACAGTGTGTACCTGGTGCCAGGGAGAGCAGACGGTGTTTGACAGAAGGATAAACTGGTCTTGGAGGGGCCCCGGAACTCACCTCTCCCAGGTGCGAGTCTCCCAATGGGCCTTTCGTTTCTGGGTTGGCGATTATTATCCGGACCCCTGGGAGTATCTATGTGGGGGAGGAGAAATCTCTCGTCAGTGGAAATAAAGATGGGCAGACACGACACACAAACCAACCCTGATCTCCTTTACACCAGATGCCTCTTCCCTTTCTAAAGATCATTTAGACAGGAGTAGGGCATTGAACCCAAATTAAATATCTTGAAATTATATACCGTTGTAAAATCATAGTCTAACAATTACATTTTTGTGGTAATTGCCACTACAAAGTTATACCTTGTGCTGCAGTGATCTTAAGATTAGGAATTTTGATCATTAATCATACCTCAATTAAGCTGGGAAAAAAAAAAGAAATCTGCTGAAAAATCACTTAGAAAAATTTTGAACAGAAACATGGTAACATTTAACACAGCCTGACTCCTGCAACATAGATATTTTCAGTTATTCCAATGAATATATTTGTATTAAATTAATTTACTTACATTAAGATTTTACATGAATTTAATACCATGCCTCACATGATGTCATGTGGGCACGAACGAATGGTGATGCTTGCCGTGATCACCGAACTCAGTGATCGTGAAGTTTTCAGGGATGAGTGTGGGCTCGGAGATAACCGAAAATGCTTTTGGTAAAATGATTTGGTAGGAAGCTGCTTTGGTGGTACCAGAAGGCATAAATCTGTGTCAACTGCTAGTCCAGTCTGCCGGGCGCTAATTAGAATGTCTGTCCTGATCTGCCAATCGCACTTTCAACTCTAGCTACTGGGGAACTTTTTGCTCCATGTAAGCATCTTTTATTGTGACGAATGTCAATATTAAACATTCCTTTCTTAATGGGAATTTAGCTTAAAGGTATTTCAAACCCCGCTGACACCACGCATGTAAGCAATCAAAAGTTCGTTCTGAAAACCCTGAATATAGTCTGTCTCAGCTCAGCTAGTTTAAGGCAGAACATCTGACGGTAAAAACACAGAACCTTCTGGAATGGTCCCCGCTGTACCTTAAGTTCCAAGTGAGAATCCACAACTCTGGTCCCTGTGGCCGACGGTGCCCGACCATGCCAGGAGGGGTGGTGAGCACCGCCCCACTGCTAAACCAGCTTTATAAAGGATTCTACATGTAGTCATACAGGAAGGTAATAAAACACCCAGAAGCGGCTAAGATGCATTTAGAGTTGTGTCACTTGGAAAAAGGATCCGATGATTGGGGCCAAAAAGGGGGAAAAAAAAAAAAAAAAAAAAAAAGGTCTTCATTTAGGCCTGTGGCACCCGGTATTCCCAGGCGGTCTCCCATCCAAGTACTAACCAGGCTGACGCCACGGCACTCACTCTAGCCTGGGCAACAAAGCGAGACTCTGACTCAAAAAAAAAAAAAAAAAAAAAAAAAAGGTCTTCATTTAGGCTTAAATATGTTTCTTGTCCTTTACTTCTATCAAACAGCAGCAAAAACAAACATGACCACTGTGGCAAGAAACTGCTGGTTGTCTCCTGACAACCGTTCTCTCCCACTTCCCCAGTGAGATGCTCTGATCTTGGCCAGGCCCAGACGGTCAGTCCATAAGACGGTCCCGAGTCCTCCCAGCCAGGTGAGACCGTGGGACTGAATCCTGTCTACGGTACTTAAGTGTCGGCAAGACAGCGTGGGAACCTTCCTTCCGGTCTGCACGTTCTGTTTCCTTCTCCTTTTTCTGTTTCTCCTGGAATGTGGAAACAATGGCAGGATCCGGGCTACGCAGACAAGATGTGAGGCACCACGGCCCGTCTCGTGGAACGGGAGATGCCTATTTCCCTAATTTTATACAAGGAAAAAGGGATCTAACTTGTCTAAAACACTTAAGAGTTTCTGTGCTCACAGCCAAACCTAGTCCTGATATAGTACCTTCAAGAGAGCTTTTAGAAAAGCTCTATATTATATTCTATAAAATTAATACTGTAATTCTATATTAATACAATATTAACATTCTATTAAAATGCATTTTTAATATTCTATAAAATACATTTCTTAAAATTTCAAAGCCCATACACTCAGATTCATATTTACACAGAAATGCATTTTTCTTCCTTGAATACTTACTTTTCCTGATTCCATCAGGGGCAGGCTATGTGGAGATCCTCTTTCTACCAAACGTACTCTGCAAACAGAGACAGAAAACATTGCTCAGCGTGTCTTCCGGGCCACTGTCCCTTTTCACCACACTCGGCACTCGGTCACGTGCCCGGAAGGCTGTCAGGGGACGTTGGTCCTGAGCGCCACCCAGCGGCAAAGACAGAAGTCACGGAGGAGCAACCCTACGGCAGAGTGACCCGGGCACAGTAGGTGTGCAGGGTAAAGGGGGACAAAGTCACAACTGCCAAACCTGCAAGACAACCGGAGAAGCGATTCTGCACTTAAAGTGACCGGGATCTGACTCGGCATTTTCAGAGAAGGAAAAGAACAGGGATTAAGTGGCGTCTGTGGAAGAGCTGCCGTCATCGCCCACGAGGGCCACGCCTGGTCCTGATGTGCCCCCGGCTCTGCCCACACACACCCGGCACACACCAGCCCAGACCCCAGCTCTACACCGCGCACCTGAGTCACCTGAGCCGAGGAGCCCGGCCGACTCGGCGAGCAAGACTGCTTTTCAGAAAAGAAACTCCTTTCAATTTAACTGGAAACTAAGAGCTGCCGAGGACGCCGTTGCCAAGCACGGCCGGAGCCAGCTCACGGTCCTCCAAGGTGTGAGTTTCCTCCTTCTGTGGTCTTCGCTACCGACGTCACATTTCTGCCACGTAACAGAGGACTATGACGCCGTTCATGAAAATGGGGCTTTTTATTGAAACGAAACAAAGTGAAGGAGAAAGTGCTCCAAGACGTGAAGACCACAGACCGCAGGAGGGGCCCGCCCACGGCTAGGAACAGAGAGGGCTGTGGGCCGGAGGGCTGTGGCGCAGCGAGGCCTGCAATGCCGGACAGCCTGCTGGTATGCGCCAGCGCGTGGCCACTGGCAGATGCAGATGGAGAGAGGGGAGGATGGACGGGAGGGCGGCAGAGGAGCCGGGGAGGAAACCCGAGGGTCACCGGGTCCCGAGGGATGGCCACCCGGGGCACGTGCATCTCCGGGCATGCAGGTGCCCCATGAGGCGCCATCTCCCATCACCGCAGACGGGTGCCATGCCACGTGGAACACGCTACTAGCACGGATAGTCCTGCATGTGGCAGGGGAAGTGTGCGCTGGCATCTCCCGGGTGGGGCCCCGAGCGCCCGCCTGCAGCCGCGCCGTCTGCAGGCCAGGCGTGCCGTCCTCCGGCCGCTCAGCAGCCGAGAGCCTCGGCCCCACCTCGCCTGGCCGCTGCAGACAGTGAGAGCAACCTCTGAAGGGGCGCAGAGGCAGCGTGACAGGCGTCATCCCACCCCTGCAGGACACGCGGCAGACGGCGCCTGAGCCGCTGCGGCAGTTGATGAGGCAAAAAAAGTTGGTGCAGAAACTTCAGCTCTGATGACGACCACCACCATCTTTGCAGTGTGTGTCTTAAAGCAAAACCGTGACGTGAACAGCAGCAGGTGAGAGCCTCCCAGACCTTGCACCTAATTCAAACTGCTCTGGAATATGCCAACGGACTCTATGACACTAACGTCCAAAAACAATCTACTGCCTGCTTCTCTTTTATTTTCTTTTTTCTGAGACAGGGTCTCACTCTGTTGCCCGGGCTAGAGTGCCGTGGCATCAGCCTCGCTCACAGCAACCTCAAACTCCTGAGCTCAAGCAATCCTCCAGCTTCAGCCTCCCAAGTAGCTGGGACTACAGGCATGCGCCACCATGCCCGGCTAATTTTTTTCTATATATTTTAGTTGGCCAATTAATCTCTATTTATAGTGGAGATGGGGTTTTGCTCTTGCTCAGGCTGGTTCTGAACTCCTGACCTCGAGCGATCCGCCCGCCTCGGCCTCCCCGAGTGCTGGGGTTACAGGTATGAGCCGCCATGCCCGGCCCCTTACTGGCTGCTTTAATACAGAATTATGAGAAGCTACGATCATCTAGGACACCAGCAGCGTTTGCTAATCTGTGGTGGGTTTCCATGGAAACTTGCCACCGGGACACCACTTAGAACTCGAGGCAAGACAGAAACGCGCCCTCCGCGTGGACGCTTGCCGAGCAGCAGCACTCGTCCAGAAGGTGGCGCCGCCGTGCGTCTGTGACAGCTCCAGGAACACTGCCTGGGCCACGCCTGGGCGTCCTGCTGGGCCAGCGTGCCGGCTGCCACCCCAGCCGGGCTGGCTGGGACTCGAGCGTGGGCAGGGGTGGGGCAGGGAGCCCGAGGGAAGGGCAGGATCAGGAGAGACGCGGAACCACCTCGCTCTGCTTTAGAATGTCGGAAACAGGGCTGACCACAGAGGGGCCACCCTCGGGGCATTTATGGAACGGCTCTGGGGTCAGTCGGGACGTGCGGTGGTCACGCATGTCCCCGCAGGCTGTGCCGTGGCCTGTGCCCAGCCGCTCTGAGGGCGGGAGAAAGAGCAGCTCAGTCCTGCTGGCCAGGGGCACGCTGCCGGTGTCTCGCTCTCTGGCCGGCACATGCTCCCCCTGCCCTCTGATCTCCTCTCTCCTGCCCATCCCGTGTCCACCCTCTGTCTTAGGGAAAGGAGGAGAGACGGAATCTGAGGATGTTGCCCGAAATGTGGAAAACAAGGAAGATATACTATTGGAGATTTCTTCTCTGGTCAGCATGAAAAAGGTATGCTTCACAGAAAAGCAGTGCACAGAGCTGAAATCACTGGGGGTCGGTCCTGAATGAAGCAGCTAAAAATCCTGCCAGCAAATGTCACATAAAAATTCCTTCTCCTATGTGAAACACAAACATATCAACATAGCAAAAGGAGAGAGAGGGAAAAAAAAAAAAACCCTAACCCCTTATATAAGGGCAAAACATGTATCTCCCAAAAGAACTGGAAGATATATTTGCAATACACAGATCAAAGGGCTGATTTTCTCAATGTGTGAAGAGCTCACAGACTTAACTGAAAACGAAGTGACCGGCAGGCAATTAGGCAAACTAAACATGCCATGAACAGGAAGTGCCCATGGTCATAGGTGTGGTTGTCACAAACCTGTCTCAATTAGTAGCACTTTAGAAGGTAAAAACCAAAGGTAGCTCCCTAGCAAATGCGAGCCAGGCGGGAAGGAAGGGCTTGCCTGGCAGCAGCAGCTGCCCAGTGAGTCCGGCAGTCAGAGGGGGTAGGCAGCTGGGAGGAAGGGTGCAGACCCGACACGCCTGGCCCCCGTCCCGCAGGGAGTGTGACCTGAGCACTTGTCTTCAGTGACAAGGCAGATGTCCAGTGGAGCCACCACCCACGGGAGCACCTGCTCTCAGGTAACACTGCAGAGTTGCTCTCAACAACTCGGGGGCCAAGTACACCTGTTGATTCCACAGCTGGGACTTCCTGCCACCTTAAGGTGGGTCACTGCTGACGGAATTGGCTCCCGGAGGCGAGCACTGACGCCCCCAGGCTCACGTCTGTGTCAACGGTGCCTCGGCCTCATCAGAGCACTGTCTACACCAGGCTGCAATTCAACCACACTGGCACCCAGATAAATCCTTCCGGCCTGGCCTCTGCCTACCCCTCATTCTTTATCCACTCAAGCACAGATCCTGGACTTGGGGAAAAAAACATTTTTCATCCTAGGCTGTCAAATGGACTGGAGGTTGAGACGTTCACCAGGAAAGCAGGAACAGAGAGGCGATGCCAAGGGATTTGCTGCGAGTCTCGAACTCGCGGCTCCATCCTAGAACTGCTCCCAGCTGACTCAAATTGAGCAACCCCAGGTCACTGGAGGGCTGGAGCCCTGATCAGCTGTCTGCACAGCCCTGAGGGGTGAGGAGACTCCTGGCCACTACAAGAGGCCTTTTGTAAGGTGCTCACCCTTCATCAGCACTTCCTGGCATCACCCCAACCCCCCGGAATGGGCGGGATGGTGCTGCCTAGCCAAGTAGGGGCTTCACCATCTGTCTGAGCAAAGCCACGGTTTAAACTTCTCTCCAGTCCTACACAATCCTGAAAAGCCACAGAAGGGGGGCTCCCTGGGACCCCAACAATGGGGCAAGCGCCTGCAGTCCCTCTGTCGGCTGGCAGAGTGTCCATCAATATACCAGCTCTGGGGCTTATTAATAACAATTGAGAAACGAGGGCGGGTGCCAAGGCTCAGGCCTCTGGGAGGCCGACGCGGGTGGATTGTTTGAGCTCAGGAGTTCGAGACCAGCCCGGACAATAGAGTGTGAGACTCTGTCTCAAAAAACAAAACAAAACAAAAAAACAATTAAGAAACGAAATTGTATTATCTGCCCCAATAGAGGAGCGCTCACGCATGGCAGGGCTGCCTGCCAGAAATAGGACCACTTCAGAATTAGCCCAGCCAGAGCCACGGGGCAACACCCAGACAGGGGGTCAGGAAAGGGAATGGAGCCGGCCGGGCCTGCCATGCCGCCCAGGCTGGCCTCCCTAGGGCCACTCGTGACCTGCAGGGAGGAGGTCATCTGTGTCATCAATCTTGACAGCCAGCGTGACCAGACCAGATGCAGGTTTGGCTAATGCTGTCTCCTGCACCAGCTCTGTGGCCTCACCGGGGGGAGCAGACAGGACCCAGAAATATCCACTCTTGCAAAGCTGAGTGGCTGTGCAGCCGAGCTTGACATTTAAGGATGGCATTTAAGGATGTGCTGCTAAAAAACCAACCAAAACTTTTAATTAAAAATTTACAACATATCTTATTCCTTATTATTTGAAATATCTAAAATAACCAATAAAATAAGACCATCTCAGTAAGTTTTTTTAAATCCCCAAAGATAAAGAGGGAATTAAATATTCAAAAAACTTAGATTAATTAATTTAGGTGCTGCGATTAAATTTAGTTCTCAGCTTCCAGGCAGCTAAGGCAAACAGAGAAGGAAAATAATTAGACAAGTTTCAGTGTCAAAGTTTGTATTTTAACATCTTGCTGTTTCCTTTGTAACTACTTATGCATATGAGAAAGGATAATTAAAATCACCAAGAAAAAAAATCAGTACTAAAACATAACAGACATCACATTCACGCTTCCAAAAACACTAACAAAACAACAAAAGCACGATTATTTCTGAAGCAGGTCTTCCCCGAATCAGCCCCCAGTAAAAGCAACAGATCACAGTGAGACAACCCAAGGCAGCTGCCACAAAAGGCCAACAGCGAACAAGTCTCCGTCACAAAAGTCCAGAAACAGGCACCGATCACCCTAAAAATGAGTGATGAGACACAAAACAGAAGAACTTTTTAACATAAAAGTGCTGTGCAAATGAAGCACCAAAGCATGTTTTGTGCACCTTTCACTTATAAAATTACAAACTTAATGTATTCCTCTCCCCCCCCCCCCCCCCCCCCGGCATCCAAAGGATGTCCACATCCTTTCTCACCATCCCTGGACTGCATTGTTTTTTAAATTTAGGGTCTTTCTTTGTTGCCCCCCCCCCCCCCCCCGGCATCCAGACTTTTCTGTCAGTCCTTTTCCCTGGTCTTTCCCTCGGGTGGAAGAGAGTCCTGCATTCTTTTCTTCCCACTAGAAGACACCATTTGGAGGCGTAGGTGTGGCCCCAGCCCACAGCATGGTCCAGACTGCACCCCCCATCTTTAACCAAGCCCTGCCAGGTGTGGTCAGGTTTCAGGACGGTTCAGACTTCTGAGTCCTAATCCTGAGCACAGACCCAGGCTACCTAAGATCCTGATCAAACACATTAATATTTCTGTGGTAAAGAGTAGGATAAATTGTGTATAGCTTCATGCCCATTCGTGAGGTTTTGATGGCAAATGGGTTTGCACCGAATTTCAGAAAAACATCAGTTTTTCAGACCTCCTTGGCTTTTTTGTTTAAAAAAATACTATTTTTACAACAGTTTCAGATTTAAGAAATATTGAACAGATAGCAGAGGCCTCATGTTGCCCTGCAGTAAACCCCAGTGTTAGAATTTTTTTTCTTTCTAGAGACAGAGTGTCAACTCTGTTGCCCTCACTGGGTGGTGTAGCTAGGACTGCAGGTGCGTGCTGCATCACCTGGCTAATTTTTTTTTTTTTAACTTTTGGTAGGGAGAGGGTCTTGCTATGTTGCCCAGCCTGGTCTTGAATTGCTGGTCTACTCAAAGTGCTGGTTATCATAGGAGTGAGCCACCACGCCTGGCTTCAACTCAGTATTTTTTAAAAAATCAGTTAAAAACACGGGCAAAGGACTTGAATAGACACTTCTCAAGAAGTGTTTGCACAAGAAAGTGTGCAAATAAGCACATGAAAAAAGATGGCCAATGTGAGTAGTCATTAGGGAAAAGCAAATCAAAATTGTGATGAGATACCATCTCACACCCATGAGGATAGCTGCTACCAACAAAATAGAAAATAAGAAATGCTGGAAAGCACACAGAGAAATCGGAACCCTTGGTGAATGTAAACTGGTTCAGCTGCTGTAGCAAATGGTGTAGAATTTTCTCAAAAAATAAAAAAACCCACATGGGTCAGCAATCCCACTTCTAGGTATACAGTCAGTCAGAACTGACTGCAGTCTTGAACAGATACCTGCCGCCCGTGTTATGGCATCACTCACAATAGCCAAAAGGTGGAAGCAACCTAAGTGTCTAAGGACACACTTGGTATATGGGCATGACGGAATATTATTCAGTCTTAAAAAAGGAAGGAAATTTTGACACCTACTGCAACACGGATGAACCCTGAGAACATTACGCTAAGTGACATAAGCTAGTTGCGAAAGGACAAATCCTGGATGATTCTAACCATATGAGGTAGAGTCACCAAGGTCGCCCATAGAAAGCAGAATGGTGGGTACCAGGGCCTGGGGAAGGGGCGTAGGGAGCGAGTGTTTAACGGGGACAGTTTCAGGTGGGATGATGAAGGGAGCTCTGGCGGTGGCTGCAGTGATCGATGCCACTGGATTGCACACTTAAGACGATTAAGATAACAAACCTTATGTTTTGTGTATTTCATCACAAGAAGAAAATTTTCAAATTTGAAACACCAAACATCCTTTCGGGGTTCTCTGACGCTCCCTCCCGGTTGGAATCCGGTTACCCGTTCTCGGCCACGGAGACACACGGGAGGTGCCGTGTCCTTGGGGATCCACCCGGAGGCTGAAGACGGCTGTCCTCTGCCGCTGCGGCTTTGTTCCTAGGTTGATAACCATCCGGTGCTCTTCGCAGGAAATTCTGGCGTACACTTACGAAGGAGAACGCTGCTTAGAAATACTGACAGGCCTTTTTCTTTTTTTTTGACTTGCAGTCCTGGAAGGATGAAGAGGCCCAGCAGGAGGCGCCTTTGTGACGTCACTGCCAGCGACCGGAAGGGCAGCATGGCGACCGGAAGGAGGGCAGCCGGAAGAAAGGGCGGCCGGAAGGAAGGGCAGCTCGGTAGCCGGAAGGGGCAGCGGCCGGAAGGGGCAGCGGCCACAAGCCCCTGACGGAACTCAAAGCAGAAGCCTCGCTTCTGTCCACGCAGACGGAAGGACCGTCCGCTCGCGGTGCCCCAAAGCCGAGTGACCCGGTTCGAGCTCGGCGCCCGGAAGGCCCTCGCTCTCGGAGGCAGGGAGAGTCTGCACGTCCTCGTTCTGCAGAAACGTCCTCCACGGCGACCTGTGACAGAGGCGCACGGCCGGGTCCCAAACCCACAGCTCTGAGGACGCAGTAGGCGCTAGAATCAGGCAGAACTGGCCCAGGGGACGTCTTCGATCTCTCGCTTGCGCAGCGGTGCTTTCCCTCCGCCATCCGTCTCTACTGTGTGAGTGTGCACACACACGCACACGCTGTCCTCTCTCAGAGAAACTGCACACACGTGTTAATGAGCTGACCTTCTCCAGGGTGACTAAATGACAAGTGGGCCGGTGGCAGTTGCAGCTGCCAAGTGCGTGTACCATGAAAGCAACAGGAAAAGTGCCTAACCCTGTGACAGACCCCAAGGTGAGTAAACACCCACCCTTTTCATAGGAACAGTAACGAGAAAAAACTGGGGTCCTCATTGCTACTGGCTCTCCTAGTCACTGCTTCCCAGCCCCAGGCCTCAGACTAGCTGAGCTTCCTGCCCACGCTGTGGTCAGCACCCCTGGGTGCTGTGGAACACAAGAGGTGAGTCTGCTGTGGGGAAGGACATCACCGCACCCTCCAAACAGCAGCCCTGCAGCCGCCCCAGAGCTCTCAGTAGCAGCATCTACCCGTCTGGCACTTCCAGGCGTTCTTTGACTCAGTCCTGGCAGGCGCCCGGTTCTACTGTGCCTACTCTAAGCACAGGGCACCTGAGGTCACAGAGCTAGTCTAGTCTAGTCCCATGACCCCAGGCAGAGAGGGGATCTGAACTCTGACCTTTTTGACCCAGAGCTGCCACACCAGTGGCTGCAGCGTAAGGTGCATTTCACTCATGTCATTAAAAGTTGAAAGTGATGCTGGACAGGTAAAGCGTTTTTACCCAGGAATATTCGAAGGAGGGTTTTAGAAGGAGGTGGCATTTGAGCTGAAGATGGGAGACTGAGGAGCATTTCAGCAGGGCTGCTCCCCCCCATCAGGCTCCCTGGAGGGTGTGGGCTGGGCCTGCGTGGGTCAGTGGGGAGGTGTCAGGAAGGTGGAACCGAAGTTGAGGGAAGGACAGCTACCTCTGCTTTCCCCACTGGGGGTGAGGAAGGAGGAGCCCAGTCTTATGGGGGGGCCACTGACAGACCCAGGCAGAAAGGGCCAAGAAGAGAGAACCTTGTAAGAACAGAAGTGAGAAAGAGGGAGAGCCAGGAGGGGAGAGCTGAGAGGGTTCAGGGAGGAGGGTGTGGAGCAGGTATCCCCAAGAGACCCCCCAGGCGGTGACTGGCACAGAGCAGTGCATTCGCCGAGTAGCTGCTAATCACCTACCACGGCAGACCCTGCAGACCAGGCTACACATCACCCCAGCAACAAGGACGGGCACATCTCAACCAGACAGAAAATGATCTATTTCCAAGGGAGGGTCTGCAGCAAAAACACGGGAGTCTTTCTTCCCCCCCAGGCATTTTAAAAGTCCTCCTTTGCTGGGACCAAAATTCCCCTAAAGGTCTTTCCCTCCTACTGACCACCTGGCCCTTCCCTAGCCGTCCTTACTGGCACAGTCACAAGTCACACCACCGGTCACTCGTGCTCAGGGTCGCTGAGAAAGCTGCACATAAATAGGAACCTGACTTCTATTTTAGCTTTTCGTGGAAATGGCTTCACGAAAAATTTCATTGCATGTAAAATGTGGGCAAAATGGTGCCTGACTAGAATGGCCATGGAAAAGAACCATGAGGCTGCCTTCTGTCCTGCTATCGTGCAACACGGTTTTCATTTGCAAAGTTCAAGCCAACTTGCCCAACTCCACTACTTTATTCATAGGTAATTACGTTTCAAGCAGATAAACACTGTGGACCTTCCTCCTCCTACATGGGTTACCTGTGTGCTTGACAACCAAAAAAAAAAAATAGGAAAAACCCGCGAGCGTACCGTACCTGTCGTGTCTCAGGGCTCTCATGTCAACATAGACAGTGGTTGGGTCAGGTCCCGAGGTTCCCTGAAAGCAACGACAGTGTGGTTAGCTCAGGTTCATGTGGAGGGAAACCTGGCTCTGGGGTCCTACTAGCTAGCAAGTCAGTCTTTGGTAAAATCTTAAACTGAAAAAAATAAAATCACTAAAACCACACCATCCAAGTTATCTCTAACTTTCAGTTTGATGATCTAAATTCCCAAAGGAACATCTTACTAGGATAACACTGGACTTTCACATGGCTTAACCACCACGCACAGGTAAAAAAAAAAAAAAAAAAAAATAGGAGACATGCCACACGGTTTGCCAAATAAAAAGCCAGAAGTGCCGAGAGGAAGTGGTTAGCTGGTAAAAGCGGGTTGCCAAGGATGTGACGTGGCATTTGCAGAGCTTCCACCACATGCACCACCTTTAGGGTAAAAGGTGTGTTTTCAGAGCTCGTGGTACTGAGGCCACACATGGCAGGAGCTGCCACAAGGTTGGGAGGGACACGTGAGCAAGGGACACTGCGCTCCTCCCAGCCCTGCTCTCTGGCCTCAGGTGGCCCCGCAGAGACGCGTCTGGGAGGGGGACACCTGCCACCATCGGCTGGGCAGGACTTTGTGGTCTGAGCTGCCGGACCATTAAATGAGCAGCACAGGGGCCAGAACTCTTCTTGGTGCCACAACTCACCCTCAGAGAGCATGCAGGGTTGACTCAAATCACTTCTCATCAGTGATCTAGGAGCAACATCCTGATGGCAACACAGCACCTTGGCTGGGAAACCACTGAACCTACAACTAATGTGCCAAAAAATAGTCATTCAGAATTTATCTGAAGAACTGCACTAACATTCTTCGAGAGAGAGAATCCTGATTTTGTACTAAAGGCACAAATTTTCTTATATTATTGGAATATAAGGAAAAAAAAAAGAATAAAGACAACGTTGTCAAAACACACTATGCTACTCGGTAATCCTGGGCACTGGCCTCTTGCCCCCGAGAGAGGAAAGAGCAGCACATGCAGCAGCCAGCAGGTGGAAGCTTCCGGGGCCAGCGCGGCAGCGAGCGCGTCCCCCCTTCCACCCGCGGCTACTCCGTGACGCCGTGCCACAGACCAGCGCTGAGAGGAGAACAGGCGTGATGCGGAGTGAGGTACGTACCCAGAGGTGGTCAGTTAAAAAATAAACAAGCAAATCAGAAAAACAGGTGGAAAATGAAGCAAAACGGAGACGAACCCAGATGGGCAAAGAAGCCGCTGACTGTGTGCAATGGAAACACAGCGTCTGTTACTTGTGTGGGACGTTTAGAGACACCCAAGCACCGAACGCCACCAGCCGTTAGCACCCTTGACTGCAGGGTCCCCGGACCCCCGCCAGTCTCTGCACTCAACTCCTAGTCCGTCCCACCACGGAACGTGGGAGGGGCGAAGGGCGACAGGGGGAGTGGGGCAGGAAGGTCCCCTACCTGCTCGGCCAGTGTCCACAGCCTGTGGGGCTACAGCAGCAGGGGTGGGGACGGGAAGGGGAGGACGCCACAGCGACAGAGACCCAGAGTGAGCAACACACACAGACACACCACCCGACAGTTAGAAATGGGATGGGGGAGGGAAGATGCACAAAGCAGGAAACAAAGTAAAAAGAAGATCAAAAGCAATGTCAGATATGGAAGTCGTTAAAATCAATCACTGTACCATTAAAGGCTAAACAAAAAGTGTATCAAAGACGTCAACATATCCACAGAGTAACAGGAGAGAGCAAGAGATGACCACGTACAGAGACAGCTCCGAGTGGTTTTTCAGTGCACAAGGTGAATGGCGTTACGGGTGGTTTAACTTTATGGGGTTCTCTTTGAGTTTCTTCCTCTTTCTGAGGGAAGTGGGAGTACAAGTCTCTTCAGCTAAATCTACTGACTGCTCCTTCACTGGAACAGTTCCGATGACAGGGACACCTGTCGGCTTTTGCATCCGAGATCGAGACACCCAGCCCTCCCCAGCTGCACGGCTCGGTGAAGGAAAGGAACAAAAGTGCCTCTGAGGCCCCAAGGAACACCGGCTCCTCCCACGCCTGGCTCGGCAGCCCAAGGAGGGATCCCTGCCCGGTAAGGCCCCTGACCGAGCCACCCGCCTCAGCGGCCGTCCACAGAGACACGGCCACATCTGTTTTCTCCTCCTCCTGGTCCTCCACGGCTGTGGCGCCCGCGTTGTGTTGTCCAGAGCAGCACTGTGGGAAAACTCCGGAAAGTGACTTGGGCAACCCCCTGAGATGTGAGGTGTTTTCCCTCAGGCTGCTTAGATACCTTTCCCAAATGTTCCCAGAAAAGGAGAGAAAGCAGGCTCTTCCCAGCACCTGGGCAGATGTGCAGCCGTTCTGTGTGTGGACACGAGTGCAGCCCACACCCCCAACCACGGCAGCCACGGGGCAGACGCCAGACGTGGCGGCGGCAGTAGAAAAGTTCTCAGCTGGTTTTCTTGGAGTTAAATTTGGTAATAAACAAAGGCAGACTGAAAAACCACCACCACTCCAAACAGAGCTGAGTCTATTTTAAAAAGCAATGGTTCAAGATATAAAGAAAAAATTATGATCCCTTTTTCTCTGTTCCTTGGCTGTGGTGATTATGGCTACCGCTGTCTCCGCGCACCGTCTTTAGGAGAGGCGGGACCGGAAGAAAGAAAACAACGGGCTCACAACGTGCGCACGCTCCGCAGACACTAGGCTACTACTGAATGTGCTCAGGCCGCACGACCTATGCCCTTCCCTCAAGACTCCCCCAAACCTAAACATGAACTGCAAAGGTAAGTCAATGTTCTCTCTAAATCACCCCAATTCACGAATTCTGTTATAAAGGCGCAAGGTCCTATCTCAGAAAAAGACAGGCGTGACCAGGCCCTCCCTTTCTATCTCGCACCCGTGCGCGGGAAGCTCGGCCCCTGGGGTGGACGGAGCAGGTCTGAGCACGGGCACAGGACGCACAGAGGAGGAGACGGAAGTTAAAGTGCAGGTGCTTCCACGCTTCAAAAACCCTAAGGCACAAAGTCTGTTTTAGGATGCACCTTCGGGAGTGAATATTCAACAAAATCTTCGAAGAACTCGTCAGCATTCAGTGAAAGCTGTTATCTCGCACAGCTACTCACGGGGCAGAAGGGCAGAGACAGTTGATTATAAAGCACGGTGGGAGGTGGGGGGGAAGTGCCATGGGAATCCGGAGGGACGAGGGTCCTGTGGCTTGATCAACGGTAAACGACTTCACAGAGGGGCCTGACGAAAAGTCTTTTGGGGCAGAGGAGAGTGTGAGTCCGACGGTGTCAGCCGAAGCAAACGAAATGTGGAGACTATGCATGAGAAAAGCAGCCTCCGTAAATAGAAATATAACGTGGAGAGCAGCAGCTGTGGGACCAGAGTGCCGTCAGAGATGGTCACACTTGCAACCTGGAAACAACCCCTAATTTATCTCTGGTAACCTAGAAGTATCCATGTATCAGACTCTGTTATTTTTTGAGAAGAGTCTGCTGTTGCCCGGTAGAACTAGGCGGTGGCATCCTCACAGCTACAAAGATAACATGCAAGCAGAATCGATCTCCTGCCTCAGCTCCCCCGATAGCTGGGACTACAGGCGGGATCCACCATGTCTGGCTAATTTTTCTGTTTTTAGTAGAAACGGTCTCTTCTTGCACAGACTGTCTTGAACTCCTGACCTCGAAGCGATCCTCCAGCACTGATCCTCCCAGAGTGCGGGATTACGGTCAGGACACCGCTACGGGCAAATATCACGACGGTTAGAGACACACTGCAAATTTCAAGTCAGCCACTGGCAAACGCCACGGCGTCCCGCGAAGGACCCAAGGCTGCCACTCGCACTCGCTCGAGACCATCAACATCGAGATGGATGCCGAAACCACCCAGCTGCTCACCCAGCCTTCCCTGGAGACCAGGCAACCCTCCTGACAGACGGTGCTAGCTCTACAGACAGCGTCCCCTTCGTCAGACCCGCGACGCACGGCCGTGGTTCCGTCTCTTTTCTGGCAACGCTCTTTGCGTAGTTACAACCTTGTGGAGAGAGAAACTCTCCCCTTGTCCGACTGGGCTCTCCCCACCGGGACGCAGAGGCTGGCTAAAAGCCGACAGCCACGGCAGACGGCCGGGCAGAAAATGATGCCGTCAAACACGACGAATCGGCTGAAGACAAATGGTGCACTACTAATTCTGCTGCTTCAGAGGCAAACTACTCTTTTCCAATACCTTTAAACATTTAAGTACAAAGTTTGGAATTTAGGGACTATCTTATAGTTTTTTGTTTTTGATTTTTGATGTCATTCTTGACTCTGCCACTTTCTTATTTTTAATTTACCTCTTTTTATTTATAGTGTGTTTTATCTTTCCCTGCTTAATGTACTCCTTCCTGATAAACTACGTTAAAACATCTTGGGTCCAGGTGGCTGGAAATAAATGCGAAACTAAATGAAGAGATAACTGTGCATGCTCCATTCCTCCTATTCGCAGCCACTTTTGCACAGAGAGCAGCTGCAGGACTCTGATGCCTGCTGGAGTGAGCGAGTGCTCAGGGTCGGCGTGCTGAAATGGAATCCACGCTGCTCTTCTCCCTGCACCCCCCACCCCAGCGTTTTAGGACAAAACACAGAAGAATCAACACCACGGTGGGCAGTGCCTGTCCTTGTGAACTTGCTCTTGACTGGGAGTCCATTACATCAGCTACTGCTGAACTTATTTAAGAAGTGGACTTCTGCATTCCCCCTTTCTCCTAAAGACAGAGAGCTAGGAACATTTACAGGGAGCAGTAAAGGTATACAAGGAAAGAAAACTTTAGTATTTAAGGTACTGGTTTGGCAATATAAATCTAATTTTTCATAGGACCTCTAAGAAAAGAGAATTAATTTCAATCCTAGGAGGACAAGGTTTAACTGACTCTCGAGAAGAATTTGGTAGTTTATAATTGTTTAAAAATGGAGGCCAGGCGTGGTGGCTCACCATAATCCCAGCACACTGCCGCTCAGGGGTTCGACACCCGCCTGAGCAAGAACAAGACCCCATCTCTACTAAAAATAGAAAGAAATTAATTGGACACTAAAAATACATAGAAAATATTAGCTGGGCATGGTGGGGCATGCCTGTAGTCCCAGCTACTCGGGAGGCTGAGGCAGGAGGATCGCTTCAAGCCCAGGAGTTGGAGGTTGCTGTGAGCTAGGCTGACGCCACGGCATTCTAGCCCAGGCAACAGAGTGAGACTTTTGTTTCAAAAAAAAAAAAAAAAAAAAAGGAGCTAATTCAAAGAGAAGGAAGACAGAAGCAAGGAACACCCTCCACGTGAAAATAAAAAACACTCCTTGTGACTGTTTCTCCTGAAACGATCTCTTGAGACTGGCCGTGTGGCAAGGGGAGCACCTTCCCCACACACGGTGGCTACCTCCACGCACTGAATGGGCAAGAAGAGAACAGACCCAGAGCCCCTGAGGCCCACCCCAACGGCAACCTAACGCAGCCCCTCGGGGCTGGTGACGGAAGGGACGGCGCTAGGTGGGGGGCGGAGAGGTGGCACACGCCAACTGTTCACCTTCCCAGCACCTGCTGGGGGCAGCTTTGCTTCTCTCAGAATGTTCCAGGAACGTGCCCAGAGCCCTGGCCTGGGCAGAGCTGCAGGAAGTGATTGATCAGGGGACGGCTTCCCCCCCACCCCCTGCCTTTGGGCAGCCTACACCCGGCATAAGGACCTCCACGGATGGGCGTGTTTTATGTTAAGGGTTCAGCAAAGGAAAAACAACTATTTTGCAGCCATGGTAAATGTAGGGCCATCTTGCTAGAGCGGCCTCACTCATGCCTGTTTCGTAGAAACGTGGCTTTGCTATTTCTACGTTGCTATCAACAGCAGCCAATTCCTGAACCTGCTTCATGTCACAATGACAATTCCTACATTCCCTGTCTGCACACAGGAGACTAATTACTTCAAGGGACAGGATTTCTTGAAACATCTGTCCAGTGCCCAACCTTTAAAGAATCTGGCAGCAGAGGTGTGGGCAAACTGCTACAAAAGTTACAACGTTCTGGGACAGAGTAAGAGGGTGACGAATGCTAGTTATGAGTAATGGATACAAAGGCAGACTGTAATTTAAAAAAAAAAAAGAAAGAAATGTGCACCCACCACATGCATATGGTTAAGAGAGACTCTTCCAGAGGTAGCTAAGCGTCAGCCAAGGAGAAAACGCTGAGCGAGTCTGTGCTGCACCTGCCATTCGAGGTGACCCTCCCGTCCCCGGCACTGCCGGTATCAGTGAGACGCACCTGCAAGCAGATGGCCAGGTTCACCCTGCAGCCGAACGAGGTGCTCACGGCCCGCGGGTGGAGGCCCAGGTCTTTGAACAGCTTCGAGAAGGACTGCGTGAGCGCAATGCGGGGCCGCTCCTCCGCCACCACCACGCAGGTCCTCACTCGGGACAAGTCCAGTCCTCGTGCCTGGAAACAACGACAGTGCCCTGAGTCGGCCCACAGTGCGCCGGGCCCCACGCAACCCGGATATTCCTCCGGTCCGAGCCCCACGTAAGCGTCGGAGAGCTCGGCGCGGCTATTCACGTCCAGGGCTACCCCCCAGCCGAGCTGTTCGTCGAGCCTCTCCAGGATGCTGGTGAAAAAACGGATACTCAGATTGTTAAGAACACCATCATAAATATTTTAAACAATAGCAAGCAGCAACAATAAGAAGCCCGAGGAGGAAAAAAGTCAAGGAAAAACAACATCCTGGATATAAGGTAATTAAAGGACGGGGTCTGGGAAGCGTTTGATGTATTCCTACGAGCACAGGTGTGCAAATACACACAGAGAGAAACAAGAAACCTAACGTTTTAAAATGCAGGAATGTAGAACTGCAATTCTTAGACAATGTCATAAAACAGCTCTCCGAAAGGTCACAGGTAAGTGCTCATCACCAAGCACATCTCACTCTCTGCACCAAATGCAGTCAGCTGGGCAAGAGCAGGACTCACACGGGGGGGGGGGGGGGAAAGGCATTTTTGGAAACCTTAAAATTCGTACCCCCATAATATGCCGAAATAAAAAAAAGAAGGGGGATTCAAAGGCTTGAGCGCAAGTCTCTCTGCAGCAGAGCTGGCTCTTCCTGGGCCAGGTTGGGGACAGGGGTTAGTGGCAGGGGTTGCATTTGAACATGAAGGTGAATAAAACCAGAGCTGCTGAGAGGGCAGCCGCCAAAACCCAAATCATTCAGCCCTTCCAGCATTTTCAGGGTGGTCTCACAGCACGTAGGTAACCGACCAGGGTCCTGAACAAGGAGGAAACTCCGTTGAAGGTAACTTTGACGTTAAGTATATAAATACGACTGTACGTACACAGGACAGACTGCAGTCTTGGTGATGCTGTGTTTACAGCGGTGTCTTTCTGATGGGTGATGCAGCACGTGGTTCTGACAGTGGGTTTGAACCCAGAGATGCCAAATTTGGCTCCAAGTTTATTATACTTAAAGGACCTAGAAAGCTTGTTCGATTTCCCTGTAACTTCGGTTTCCTCATCATTAAAACAGGGGACGATAATTGTTCCTATTTCTGAGAGCTGTTTTAGAGCTTAAATGAGCACACAAAATGCTTAATAATAGCATAATTCAGGGATTTCTAATATTTTGGTTACTTATATATGTATTAGCAGGGAAAGTTCATGACAACGTACTTGATCATTTTCTTCTATATAGGTGGCATGAGTAATAACTATATTTTATGATTTTATTCATATACAAATATGTAACTTAATAATTATCCCTTTATGTAGCTTAATATCCAAGTTATCTTGCATTGTTTTTCTGTGCAAGCTTAATACACTGGGAAAACAGAATGCAGGAGTGATAAATATACGCTTCACTATTTATACGTGTGCAGATAACTTATGTTTGTGCGGATATACACACAAACAATATAGCCTGTATATATGTGGAGACACACACATATCTGGACATAGAGTGAAGAGTAGGTTCAAATACAATCCAAACAGGTTACACAATTATTCCTTCCCACTTACTTGGAACTAGGGATTACTTAATTTACCATGAAAATACCTCTGCCAAAATGTCCTCCTTTTAAATGGAGGGAAATACTATTACTTGCACATGATAAGTAAGAAATTATAAGAAACAAAACACAGCACTGTTCAAATGAACTTTGGTCAGGGTCCAGACCTGTAGGATCAGGGTCTTCACGGAAAACAAAAGCTAGAGGCTACGTGAAAACCTACTTAAACACCAGCATCAGATACAGTTAACTTCCTGAAGAACTTAACTGACCAAACAAAAATTTAGGATCTTTCCAGTAGATGCAGTGGGATGAAAGACATCGATAAAACACTCTACGCTTTGGCTCATTAGCATCGTCACAGTGGGGAAATAGTCACGTTAAAAAACATTTGCCTGCCTGGGTGCGAGGGCTCACGCCTGTAATCCTAGCACTCCGGGAGGCCGAGGCAGGAGGATCGCTTGAGCTCAGGAGTTTGAAACCAGCCTGAGTAAAAGCTAGACTCCATTTCTACTGAAAAAATAGAAATTATCTGGACAACTAAAAATATATAGAAAAACATAGCCGGGCATGGTAGTGCATGCGTGTAGTCCCAGCTACTCGGGAGGCTGAGGCAGGAGGATCGCTTGAGCCCAGGAGTTGGAGGTTGCTGTGAGCGAGGCTGACACCACGGCACTCTAGCCCAGGTGACAGAGGGAGACTGCCTCAAAAAAAATAAACAAAACCGTTTTCCTGTGAAAACAATCTGTAAGCTCCAGGTGACAGCAGATTACACCCTGGCGTTTTTGGAGGATTGCATGAAGGTCACCAGCTCCGTGAACACACCTCCGCAGAACGGGTCCCCCAGCCCCACGGGCGCTTGCTTACCTTGAGCGACTCGGTCTGCGAGCCCAGCCCCTTGGTGCACAGCTCCATCACCGAGTAGGAGCAGAACGTGTCCCGCACCTTGTACTGGCTCACGGCGAGAAGCCACAGGGCAGGGTTGGTCTCCAGCTCCGAGGGCGGGATCAGGATGGACTGGTGCCCCGAGTACACGCTGTGGAGACAGAGGCGGCTGTCAGGGCAGGGTAGGGCGGGGCGGGCGCCAGCCTGAGCAGGGCAGGGGGAGGCTGGCGATAGCCGTGCCTGAGGACCAGCTCGACACAGAACCGAGTCTGTGACGACATTCCAGAAAGCGCTCGGGCACTGCCGGAATTACCACGCAGAGTCACTGCCCCACGCGGGGAGCGCTTATTCGAAACTGCCGAGTGCTGTGACATTCCCAGGTTTCTCTCAAAGCTGCTCCGTTAACAACCCAGATCCTCTTTCACAGCAGAGAGCACAGGGATCAAATTTTGGTAAAAACATCTGGAAGTTCAGAGCAGGAGACGCAAACCTCAGACGCCGCCTGTTTTTACAGATAGGGTTTCGCCGGGACAGGGTGACCATGCACAGGTAAGCGTGGCCTCCAGCAGCTCGGAGCTGACGGACCGCGGGCCGAACGTGGACTGGACACCCACCATGGGGACGTGGCCTGCGCGGGCCCGGACGTGGACTGGACACCCACCACGGGGACGTGGCCTGCGCGGGCCCGAACGTGGACTGGACACCCACCACGGGGACGTGGCCCGCGCGGGCCCGAACGTGGACTGGACACCCACCACGGGGACGTGGCCTGCGCGGGCCCAAACGTGGACTGGACACCCACCACGGGGACGTGGCCTGCACGGGCCCGGACGTGGACTGGACACCCACCACGGGGACGTGGCCTGCGCGGGCCCAAACGTGGACTGGACACCCACCACGAGGACGTGGCCTGCGCGGGCCCAAACGTGGACTGGACACCCACCACGGGGACGTGGCCCGCGCGGGCCCAAACGTGGACTGGACACCCACCACGGGGACGTGGCCTGCGCCGGCTCAACGCGGGCGCCCCACGCAAGGGGAAGAGAACTAGGGTGATTAAAGTCAGTCGCTCAGTATCTCTAAGTTCAGGTTTTCACTTTGAAATGATCCAAGCAAATCAGCAAACAGAAGAACGAAGGAAAAATTATAACCAGTTTTTTATTTTACCTTTGGATTAGAGAGCACATCTAGGGAGATGAAGAAAAACGTTAGATCACACATTTTGATTCATCATCAGCTGATGGGTAAGTGTGGACTGTGAAGAATGAAGTATTTGTAAAAAACTGCATTTTTTATAGCTTTTATTTTTTTGGTTTACTACTACAAATGAACATTAATAGATGTCGCACATTGTAATAGAATATCCTGGATAAATCACCTTCTAAGGTTTAAATGATAGGGATGTTCTAGCTACACAAAATTTCATTGATAAAATAGGAGGTTAGGGCTGACTGCTATGTTCCAATACTAATCCCAGTTCTTCTTTTGTGTGGCCAATCTCAAAAATTTTAAAACTGCTTAAGAGAGAATCCCACTAGTTAAAATATATATATATATATTCTTTTATATATATATATATTATTTTATATAAAAACTTTTTCAGAGAACATAACAAGGGGCATTTTGGAATAAGTTTCCATTTCTTTCTTTACTCCTATATCCCAGAGTGTCATTTATCTTTTCTTAAAAGGGAATACAGACGGCCTTCTTATCTGTGGGTTCCCCATCCATGGCTCTAACCAACCACAGATGAAAAATATTTGGGGGAAAAATCACGCCTGTACCGGCCGTGTATGGATGTGTTTGTCATCACTCAGTAAAAACAGCATCACAGCCATTTGCACACAGCACTCGCACTGCCCGAGCTGTCCGAGTAACCGGAGGTGGTTTCGGGTGCGTCAGGAACTCGAGTGCCTGGACGGTGGGGTCCAGGGAAGGCCCCGGAGCCCACCCAGCCACGCGAGGGCTCTGCTGCGGCGTCACCCTCTGCCGCGGCCGTCACAGGTCTGATCGTTGCGGAAACACAAGGGGGGACGTCGGTCCTCAAATTATCACTCTGCTCTAGATCGGCTATTTTTGTTCTAATTTTTACACTTGCACTGTGGTAAAACATGTAACATAAAATTTGCCGTTTGGGCCCTTTCTAAGCCTCCATGTCAGGGACACCAGTTCCATTCGCATCCAGTAACCACCAGCACCACCGTCTGTTTCCAGAACTTTTCCATCTCCCCAGACCGAGACTCTCCTCCCCTCCCGCCTGGACGCTGGGACCCTCTGCACTGTCCCTGAACTCGCCGTCCCAGGTTCTCCACGTCAGTGGGGTCGTGCGACGCGTGTCCTCTGCTGTCCGGCGTGCTTCGCTGAGCGTCTTGTTTCCTAGCAGGTGTCAGAGGTCAGAGCGCCCATCCACTGTGACCGGACAGTCTCTGGCCGCAGGTGTGTGTCACGTCTGTTTGTCCACCGCCCGCTGACGGACACTCCGTGGGATCCACTTTTGGTACCGTGGCTGCTGCTGCAGGGAATACCGTGTACCCGTCTGTCTGAGGTCCTGGTCCTTTGGGCACACGCCTACACACAGAGTTGTCGGGTCACACGGCGGGACTCCGTGTTTAACTTCCCGGGGAACTGCCAGCCTGTGTTCAGGCGGCCGCACCAGGGCACACTCCCACCGGCACCGGGAGGGACTCCAGGCTCTCCACGTCCCGACCAACACTCACTATCGCATCTCCCACTTGCTGAAGACAGCAGTTTATTGCAGTGGTGCCTGCTCCGTTATCCTCAGGATTCACGCAGTCACTCCCGCCACAGCGTGACAGTGACCAACTGCCTGTGCGGCGATGGCCCCGGGAGACTGGGATGAAACTGAAAAATTTCCATCATCAAGCGACGTCGTAGCCGTGGTGACGCCGGTACAGACACACCCGCTGCAGTCGGAAGCCGAGCACGCACAGTTACGTACACGCACTCAACGCTGACAAACCAAGTCACCAGTCAACATGTTTACTGTGTCATACTTTTTATTATTTTAGGTGCGCTTCTACCTAAGAAACGAAGTTAACTCTAAACAGCCTCCGGCCCGCCCACAGGAGGGGCCAGAGGAAGGCGCGCTGTCACGGGAGACGGCAGATCCGAGCGAGCTGCTGCCCCCGAGACCTTCCTGGGGACGAGATGTGGAGACGGAGGACAGCAATGCTGGCGATCCCGACCCTGCGTGGGTCGAGGCCAACGCGTGTGTCTGTGTCTTAATCTTTAATGGAAAAGTTTAAAAATTAAAATAGACCAACGCTTATACAATAAGGATATAAGGAAATATTTTTATACAGTTGCACAATGTGTGTGTGTGTTTCAAGCTAAGCATTATCACAAGAGAGTCAGGAAGTTAAAATGCCAGTCAACAGAAGGCAGTGATTTTGCAACTTCTCGGTTAATCTGCAGAAAAGATGTTGGTTCAGTAAAGGTTCATCAAAACCTGGATGCCCCGTAAAGAGTCTCTGCTGCTGTCAGTGATCCACACTGAGAACTCACTTCCCCTCCACGAATACCTCGCCTGGATTCCGGGGCGTCAGGTCTGGTAGCCGCCACGCAGGCCGCCGTTTCCCAGCGAGATCGGCCCTGGGCGGGGACAGCAGCTCAGCAGACTCCGCCCCGCCCGGCTGGACACGTCCCTCCCACCTGCGGGTGCCACGCCCGGTGCCGCAAAGGTGCGTCTATGTCCCAAGGAAGAAACTGCCTCATGGTGCTGCTGGCCTCTTGGACTGAGGCAAAAATCATCAAATGTTTCAGTTATTTAATGCAACTTGCTTCCTCAAAAAGTATAATCGTCCTAATTAGAATGTCAGTGTTTTCCAAAACCACAGGACTGGATTTTTTTTTGTCTTTTTTTTTTTTTTTTTTTTTTTTGAGACAGAGTCTCACTTTGTTGCCCAGGCTAGAATGAGTGCCGTGGCGTCAGCCTAGCTCACAGCAACCTCAAACTCCTGGGCTCAAGCGATCCTCCTGCCTCAGCCTCCCGAGTAGCTGGGACTATAGGCATGCGCCACCATGCCCAGCTTACTTTTTCTGTATATATTAGTTGGCCAATTAATTTCTTTCTATTTTATAGTAGAGACGGGGTCTCGCTCTTGCTCAGGCTGGTTTCGAACTCCTGACCTCGAACGATCCGCCCGCCTCGGCCTCCCAGAGTGCTAGGATTACAGGCGTGAGCCACCGCGCCCGGCCAAGGACTGGATTTTAATCTAACGAATACTATTAAGTATTACGAATGCATCAAAAAAATAATTTGTTTTAGAAGAGTGGTTAGGACATGAGATAAAATCCACTATAGGACATTAAGAAAAAATAAAACTATGACCAATTTCATAGTGTAGCACCCTCAGTTTTATGAAGATATTAACGTATATTTGTAAAACTGTATGCATGAAGATTTATGAGGGGAATTACATGATGTTTGTGTTAGTTTCAGAATGCCCCATTTAACAGAGGGGGAGACACAAAGCTGGAACACGTGAAGCCGGGAGATGGCCACTGGCGTTCACCGCGCAGACCTCCTGCCCTCGTGAGCGCTTGCGACGTTAAAGGAAGCAGCGGCGTCAGGACACCAGCTCTGAAGGACCACAGCCAGCGCTACTTACTGGCTCACTCTGCATCAGGCAGTGGGGTTGCTGACGGCTTTATTTTCTCCCTTATGTTTATATTTTCTAAAATCTCTACAATGAACATATACGTATAATCAAAAAGTCAGAAACATCTATCTGGACCGTCATTCACGCCACGAGTATTTGCCGAGCAGCTGCCGAGCGGACTTGCTTCGGGCGTCCTCCTCCCACCGACGGCCGGTGCGGAGCCCGGAGCCTGAATGACCGCTCACCGAGCAGGACCCCAGGCCAGCAGGACCAGCGGGAACTAGGCACTGAGCCCGGCCCCCGGCTCTCAGAGGCGCCCGCCCCGCAGGTTCCCGCAGACAGGCACCGTGTGTCCCCAAGAGCTGGCCCCTCAGGAGACGCTCGGGGACGGGTCCCGCGTCCTGCAGGCCAGGCTGTGCGTGGGGCTGCCCGGCACGGTCAAGGTCTGGAAAGGAGAGAGTACGATTTCTTTTTTAAAAAAACAGATTATTAAACAGGAATCTCACCTGCAGAGGCACCAGAGGACAAATCCAAGTCCACAGTAAGGGTCCAAGCAGATGGCCACTTCTCTAGAGGGGTAAAGTTCACACTGCAGCTTAATGGAACGGCAAAAGGCACTGGTGGCTGCGTGAGACATCTGCAAGGCAATGAGGCCACGTTAAGCCGTGGGACCTGACACTCAGAGACACATGTAAGGCAACAAGGCCACGTTAAGCCGTGGGACCTGACACTCAGAGACACATGTAAGGCAGCAAGGCCACGTTAAGCCGTGGGACCTGACACTCAGAGACACATGTAAGGCAGCAAGGCCACGTTAAGCCGTGGGACCTGACACTCAGAGACATCTGCAAGGCAGCAAGGCCACGTTAAGTCATGGGACCTGACACTCAGAGACATCTGCAAGGCAGCAAGGCCACGTTAAGTCGTGGGACCTGACACTCAGAGACATATGCAAGGCAGCAAGGCCACGTTAAGTCGTGGGACCTGACACTCAGAGACATCTGCAAGGCAACAAGGCCACGTTAAGTCGTGGGACCTGATACTCAGAGACATCTGTAAGGCAACAAGGCCACGTTAAGTTGTGGGACCTGACACTCAGAGACACATGTAAGGCAACAAGGCCACGTTAAGTCGTGGGACCTGACACTCAGAGACACATGTAAGGCAACAAGGCCACGTTAAGTCGTGGGACCTGACACTCAGAGACACATGTAAGGCAATGAGGACACAGTAAGTGCGTGGGACCTGACACTCAGACACAATGTAAGGCAACAAGGACACGGTAAGTGCGTGGGACCTGACACTCAGAGATACATGTAAGGCAACAAGGACACGGTAAGTCGTGGGATCTGACACTCAGACACATGTAAGGCAATAAGGCATTAAGTCATGGGATCTGACACTCAGAGACACATGTAAGGCAACAAGGACACGGTAAGTCATGGGATCTGACACTCAGAGACATCTGTAAGGCAACAAGGCCACGTTAAGTTGTGGGACCTGACACTCAGAGACACATGTAAGGCAACAAGGCCACGTTAAGTCGTGGGACCTGACACTCAGAGACACATGTAAGGCAGCAAGGCCACGTTAAGTCGTGGGACCTGATACTCAGAGACATCTGTAAGGCAACAAGGCCACGTTAAGTCGTGGGACCTGACACTCAGAGACACATGTAAGGCAACAAGGCCACGTTAAGTCGTGGGACCTGATACTCAGAGACATCTGTAAGGCAACAAGGCCAGTAAGTGCGTGGGACCTGACACTCAGACACAATGTAAGGCAACAAGGACACGGTAAGTGCGTGGGACCTGACACTCAGAGATACATGTAAGGCAACAAGGACACGGTAAGTCTTGGGATCTGACACTCAGACACATGTAAGGCAATAAGGCATTAAGTCATGGGATCTGACACTCAGAGACACATGTAAGGCAACACGGTAAGTCATGGGATCTGACACTCAGAGACATGTAAGGCAACAAGGACACGGTAAGTTGTGGGATCTGACACTCAGAGACACATGTAAGGCAACAAGGACATGGTAAGTCGTGGGACCTGACACTCAGACATGTGTAAGGCAACAAGGACACGGTAAGTGCGTGGGACCTGACACTCAGAGACACATGTAAGGCAACAAGGACACGGTAAGTGTGTGGGACTCAGACACATGTAAGGCAACAAGGACACGGTAAATGCGTAGGACTCAGAGACACATGTAAGGCAACAAGGACACAGTAAGTGCGTGGGACCTGACACTCAGAGACACGTGTAAGGCAACAAGGACACGGTAAGTGTGTGGGACTCAGACACATGTAGGGCAACAAGGACACGGTAAGTCGTCGGACCTGACACTCAGAGACATCTGCAAAGCAACAAGGACACGTTAAGTGGGACCTAACACTTAACGCCCCAAGAAAACTATAAAGCAACAAACATGCATTAAATGCCCAAAGACACTTTCGGGACCGGGGATGACAGGGGCCCAGCCCAGGCTACGTGGCGTCAGGGAGGGCGGGCTGATGTTCTCAACGGTGTACCCGTTGTCAACAAGTAAACCACAGTCAGAGCTCCTGGTCCTCTGGGGCCTGATAACTCCAGCGACTGAAGCAATGATGTCCTGGATTTGAACGGCAGGTGATACATAAAGGGGTCCTTGTGTGACCCCACAATAGCCTATACAATAGGTGGAGACAGCACGGTTCATTCCCTCCTCGTTCCCGGGCGTGATATAGCAAAGACACACTGGACAAACTACTCCCTCTAAGTGAGCAGGAAACGGAGGCTCAGGGAAGTGAGAGCATTTGCTGAAGGTCACGTAAGCCACAGCTGGAGTTAGACACCCACCTCTCACGCCAAGCCAATGCTCCTTCCACAAAGACCACCCACAGCGAGATGCGGCCTGAATCCCACCCGCTCCGCCACCAAAGCCACAGAAAGGAACCACTACAACTCCCCTTTCAGTCCCAGGAACAGGCCACCACGGCCAGGATGAAAGGTGAATTACCTCAAAATGATATAAGACATTTAATAAAATCAGTTTTCTCATGGAAGTTTTCTAGCCAAACAAACCTAAGAGGAAACAGGGAACAAACGTTCTATGGTGCCCATTATGGAGAAAACACTTCACTGAACAAGGCTGTCTCTCCCAACTTCAAAAGTACGCTATTGAACACTGGGTGACATTCTTGTCCATAAGCTGTTATTAAATGGAAATCTTTTTCTGGGAAAAATGGTCACCTCTGCGACCTGCCAGTCCCCAGTGGGACACACGCACATAGCACAGATTCATGACACAAATCAACGGTCGAAAAGTTCAAGAAAAACTTCTACACGTTTGAGAGGAAGTCAGCCTAGCTGTTCATCTCTCTGGGTCGTCCAGGGTGTGTAACCTAGATTAAGTGGAATCGCAGGAAGTACTAAACACAATTCACATTGCTGTTTCACGTGGAAATATCATTACTGAATCAAGGTTCGATATCACAGCTGCCATGTCTGCAGACCACGAAACCAGGATCAAGAGCATGTGCCCGTCTCTCGCGACAACAGGAGGCTCCAAGCCGACTCAGCACTGCAGCGACTGATTCATCTTGGTCTGAAGACACTTCTTCCCTTTAAAAGCCTTTTGAAAATTCACCTTGTTCCCTGCTGTGGTCAGTGGGTGAACCACCCCAAATCCTACCGAAGGGCAGGGTGGCGGTGGAGCTGAATGTGAGTCCCCCAGGCAGGTCAGAGGTCGGGGGGGGGGTAGAGGGCACAGGGACCAGCGCTCAGCTCCGCGCGGCACCTCAACAGGGACCCCCCCAACCAAGCCGTGAGGGTCTGGATTCTGGGTGACGTGTCAGTGGTTCCACTCTTTGACAGGAAAAGGCTCACATGGCTCGTGGCCGATTACAACAGAGCGAGAAACGGCAGCAAGCAGAGGCTGACAACGGGGTCGTGGTTTGAGAACCAGGAAAAAATAAAGACGTATGCAGTGTTCTATTTGGGCTAACGAGACCGTGTTTACACAGGAAAACACTTGGGCCATTTGGAAACAGCCTAGTTAACTGCTGAAATGGTCACGCACTTCACAGCGTGAAAGAACACACGCATACACCTACACGAGGCTACACAGAAGCACACGGACACTCACACACGCCCGCTGACCGCGCGTGCTGCGGCCCCGCGGCCCCGCGGCTCACCTTTACGCCGGCGAGCATCCCGGTCGTGGACACGCTGAAGTCGAGGTACGCCAGGGTGTCGGGGTTGGAGGGCTTGCAGATCTGGGCCGGCCGCTTCTTTGGCAAGTCATCTGGGGTGAGACAAAGAACCGGCGCGTCCCACCCGCGTCTCAGCCCCGCCGGCCGCACGCCGCCCCGCCGGCCGCGCACTGACCTGTGTCCAGGATGAGGGGCCACGTCCTGACGTCCACGGCGGCCGCCGCCTCCCTGGAACGCAGCAATTTACAGATCAGCTGTGTGGTCATCAGACAGGCGGAGCGGCTCACCTGGAGGTCAGAGAGCAGAGGTCGGAGGGCGAATGCAGACCCCAGAGGAGGAGGCCCGGGCGCTCGTTACGCGCATCGCAACCGCGTGGCTTCAACGGGCAGCTGAGGTCGGAGACAGTTACCAGCCCCCGTGCCGAGATCACACTCAGGGCGGAGCGTCTGTCCCAGCAGGACCGTCACCCCCAGACACCGCACAGGCCGGCCACCAGGGACGCCCCACGTAACCGCCAGGACGCGTCCGGTGGGACAGGACACCGGCACTCTCTGTCCCCAACTATTCTGCTCCTGGGGTTCCTCCCCCAGTGGGGGAAAAACACACCCTAAATCCTCTTAAACTTCCTCGGGCGTAAACATTTTATTTATTTATTTAGAGGCAGAGTCTCGCTCTGTTGCCCAGGCTAGAGCGAGTGCCGTGCCGTGCCGTCAGCCTAGCTCACAGCAACCTCCATCTCCTGGGCTCAAGCGATCCTCCTGCCTCAGCCTCCCGAGTAGCTGGGACTACAGGCACGCGCCACCATGCCCAGCTAATTTTTTATATATATATTAGTTGGCCAATTAATTTCTTTCTATTTATAGTAGAGACGGGGTCTCGCTCTTGCTCAGGCTGGTTTTGAACTCCTGACGACCTCGAGCAATCCTCCTGCCTCGGCCTCCCAGAGTGCTAGGATTACAGGTGTGAGCCACCGCGCCCAGCCAAAATTTTTAAAATAATATACTTTCAAAAGGAATAGGAAACTTCTAGAAATGCGCTCACTGCTCCCCGCCTGGCTGGCTGGCTGGCATGGGGGGAGCCCCTAACGCCCCAGATGCCGAGACCGGGACCTGCAGTCACCACCTCCCTCCACTTCCTCTCGAGCTCAAGTCTCACCTCCAGAACTGGATCTCAGGCCCCAACGGCGGAGCCCCTTCCCACCCTGCTGAGCTGGCCCCAGACACCCGCCCCCCCAGCACGTCCGGGAGGCCCAGCCTCCGGTGCTTTACCTCCACGATCATCTTGACGGTGGGCAGCGTCGTGGCGATGTTCTGCGGGTGCGGGGGGCGCACGGTTATGGGCACGCAGCCGGCGTACAGGCAGCCGTAGAAGGCGGCGATGAGGTCGATTCCTGCGCAGGGGGAGAGAAGTTCCCGCTCGCACCGTGGGGCCCGCTGCCGCCACCCCGTCTGGGACAGCAAACACAGGGCAGACCCTTCCTTCGTCCCTGTGGGCTGGGGAGGCCGGTGACCAGTCCCGTTCCCGTGGCTTCAGCTGCGAGACGCCAAAGCCACCAGGAGTCTGACTTCTCTAAGGAAACGCCCCACTCTGTGACGAAAATTTAGCGAGGATGTAGCCACTACTGATCAAGTGAACTGCCTTGGATGTCTAAAAGCAAATTCAGGTGCAAATGTTTCTGAAAGCGTCACTTAAGTTTCTAAAAGTGGCGTGGGCAGGTGGCCTGGCCCCCGTGAGCGGGAGTGACCGGCTACCGCGAGCCCGGCTGGCACCGAAGAGGACGCACTCGGCAACCACGGCGCCCCGAGCGCCTCTCGCGAGGGGCTGGCCCGGCCGTGTCTGCGGCAGATTGGCACAATCCCTTACCCGGCGGGTACACCAGGGCGACGTGGTCACCGTCCTGCAGGTGGCCGCGCTCCGCCAGCATCACGGCTATCTTCTCCGCCCGCTTGTGCAGCTGCACGCAGGTCAGCGAGTTGGCGATCGTGCCCTGCGGGCGAGGGACAGGCGGGTGAGGGGGGCCTCCCGGCTCAGCAGCTTGTGGGGACACCGTGTCACTCCCCTCGTTCAAAACGTGCAAGCCCGTGGGCCTTGGGGACATTCACAGAGTTGTGCGGCCACCAGCCAGTTCTAGAACGTTCTCCCCATTCCCCCAACACCCTGTGTCTGCTAGGGAGAGGTCAGTCCTGTTTCCTTCCAACTAGGTAACAAGCACAGATAAACTAGGTGTCTAGATAACGTTTGGGTTAACAAATATTTTTTAAAAATCATTTGAACTGAAAAGGAAAAAAAAAACCACGCTAGTCATTCCTGAGCCTGTGTTACTGCCACGGGCAGCGAGGATTACTAGTGACCCCAGGACGTGTACGCAGTTTGTGTGACAGGGCGCCTTCTGGGGAGTGTCCTCAAGTCAGCGAGGGGGAGGATCTGGAATTAGCCTTTTATGCCCAGGGCGCCGCGCCCAAGGGAGTCCCACACGGGCAGCGTCTTCTCCACTGCAGGGGTGGCCGTGTCACCAGGTGACACCCCCGGGTGACGTTCCTGCCTGCAGAGGACGAGCTGACCAGCACCGGACACGTCGGCAGGACACGGAGACCCAGCTGCCGGCCCGCGGGAAGCGGGTCCTCCCGTCAGCGGGGCACGGCCCCCACGGAGACTCAGTTCCTGCCCGGCCCCGCGGACGCTGGCACTCTCGGCGACTGGGGGGAGTGCAGGACGCCGTCACGGATGGGGGTCCCCACGCAGGCTCGGTCAACGCCGCGGCCACCAGAAGCGGCACAAACGGGCCTTCCTGTTTCCAGGGACTCTGCCTTGGTCAGACGCCACACAAGGGACACCTGGGCCCCCGGCACACGGCAGCCCCAGGACACCGACACCTCCTCAGGGAGGAGGAAGAGGAGGGTTTCTCCTAGAACTGAACCACAAGCACAGAGGGGCCGTCGCCCACCGTGGGGAGTCAGGAGCAGCTTCCCGAGCGGATCCTCCTCTCCCTCCCACCGCTCCAGCGGGCAGGGCCTCCGTGCGCCAAGACTGACGTTTGGCGACCGAATGGCCGAGGCTCTTCGAAGAGCTGTACGTGTCTGTGCTTGCCGAGACCACCTACGTTTTCAATCTCATTTTCAAGCTTTATTTCCACAGCAGAAAAGGAAAGTTAACGGCCATTGTTAAGACTTTTGCATGTAATTTTCTTTTTCTTTTTTTTTTTTTTGAGACAAGGTCTTGCGTTTCCCAGGCTGGATTCAGCAGCAGCATCATAGCTCACGGCCGCTCCAACTCCTGGATGTGAGTGACCCTCCCACGTGGCCGGGACTGCAGGTGCCACCACCACGGCCGGCTACGTTTTCCATTTTTTGTAGAGACGGGACCTCGCTCTTGCTCAGGCTGGTCTCGAACTCCTGACCGTGAGCGATCCTCCCCCACCTCGGCCTCACTTAATTTTTATTGTTAATAATATGTGCTTGTCTATTTAAGGCCTTTCTCCTAAGTGCTATTATGGAACAATATCTGATGAGTTTGGTTTTCTAATGTGAAATGTAAACAGGAACTTTAATTATACTTAGAAATAATTTTCGTTCCTAAGAGACTGTAATAAACACGTAACTTATTTATAAAGAAGTAGCTCAGTAATCAAAATAAAACAGGTAACTTATACTACCGCGGACAGGATTGCTAAAACATCTGCTCACGTAGATAGGTATACAAAGAGATGTACAAATTGTTATATTTAAAATCAACCCTTAAGCAAAAAATTCTCATCAGTCAAAACAGCAAAAACTAAGGGAACAAAAGGAATCCGCGTAAGGCGAAGTGAAGGAGAAAGTCAGGAATATGGGAAGGAACGAGAGCCCCCCAGAACCCCCACCCGACCCCGGCGTCTCCGCGCAGCACCTCACCCGACAGTTGAGCAGCGTGTAGAGCACGTGGTCCGGCGTGGTCTGCGCCCTCCACTGCAGGACCTCGGAGAGGAACAGGAACTGCAACAGACACGGGCCGGGGTCAGGCCGGCGTCTGGCGGGGGCGGCCTCGGCACCGCGGGGCGTCTTGGCACAGCGCTCGTGGCAGGGAGACGAGGACGTCCGTGTTCGGGAAATTCCCTGACAAACACGCGACTGAGGGAACCAGCAAACGCCCCCAGCTTCTCTCCTGCAGCGACTCAGAGCTCGCCGTGCCCGGGGAGACCCGCAGCTCAAGGCTGCGCCCCGTCCGGGAAGTTCTGAGAGACTCTGGCCGAGGAGGGGAGGACTGCCTCCCCTCAGCCGGCAGGGAAGTCCCTCCTTCCGCGACTGGGGAAGATGCAATGCTGACTTCTGGGTGCTACAGTGAGAATCAGCCCTACCCTGCTTTAAACAAACGGGCTCTTTCACGTTTTTAAGGCGGCAACACCCCGATGTGATTGAACTGCAAATTACACAAACTACACGTATCCTACGGATTCAGTGCACAGAGAATAGAACAGCCTTACTCGACAACAGGACGTAGCAAACACTGTGCACGGCCCTTAACCCCTTATTAACAGAAATGCACGTCACCATGGGCATGGGGTGATCACACGCTTCAATTAGCCTGTCACTGCATGCCCCAGACTGGGGACAGGACACGCTTCCCAAGAGACCAGGCAGCGCGGGGACTCTGTGGGACTGAGCACTCTCAGGGCAAAGGAGGACTCGCAGAGGCACGGGGTGCACTACATGTTGTCTGTGGTAAAAGGGGCTCAGGGACTTCTCTGGTGGGCCTCATGCTGCTCCAAGGAGGCCTGGCGCCAGCCCTCGCTCTAACTGTCCCCCTGTTCCCTGGAGACCAGGGCGGGAAGCCCTGTGGCAAGTCCCCGGGAGGCCACGTGGGCTTCCATTAGGGCCGGCTGGTCCAAGACAGGCACCTGGGAACCTACGACGGACTGGAAGTCCCCGTGGGCGGTGCAGCCTGGAACTGGCCCAGGGGGCAGTTGGGGCGGCGGTGGTTCCTACCTTTCGGGCCTGGTCGTTGTCTTCGATCTGGCCCAGGTCCCGCCCGCTGGCCTGCGCGATCCTCTTCCCCGAGACCAGGTTCCCCACCATCACAGAGGCAGGGCCGATTTCTGGAAGGAAGCGCAGGCTGCACGTGAGCGAACAAAAGCGTGAAATTCCTCACAGCGCAACTTCCCGCCCGGGCACCGACCCACCCTGGGAGAACCCTCCGGAAGCCCTGGCTGCAAATACAGCTCGTTGGAGCAGGTTTTCAAAGAAGTGACCAGAACGATCACCCCAGCGAACGTGAGCCAGCCACGACCTCGGTTTTGCAGAAGTGACAACTCTGTCCCCCGACATGTGTCTAGTTACCGTGAACTGGGGGTGCTGACACCGTGACGTCACGGTGGCCACCGAAACAAATGACACGGAAGACAAACGTGGAACTTAAAACACGCCGCACTTCACTGATGTGTAGCTCGAGATTTCTGGATCATTTGTTCTTGCTCTCTGGCACTACTACGCATTCGAGAGTTGACTATCGAACTCAATATCGTACGTTTTTAGTAAATACCTCTCAGGACAGACCTAGACAGTGCCCTGCCAAAGGGGCAGGACCCGGGGTCACCTGTCCACGTAGCTCAGGTCCCGTCGGGCCACGGTGAGCGTGGGGGTGCACCAGCGGCTGCCGTGAGCTCAGCTCTCTTTTTCTTTTTTTTTTTTTTTTTTTGAGACAGAGTCTCACTCTGTTGCCCAGGCTAGAGCTGAGTGCCATGGTGTCAGACTCCCCTCACAGGCAACCTCAAACTCCTGGCTCAAGCCAATCCCCCCTGCCTCGCCTCCCGAGTAGCTGCGGACTAGCAGGCATCGTGCCATCCCGTTCCCCCGGGCTTTAATTTTTCTATTTATAGTAGAGACGGGGTCTCAACTCTTCGCTCCAGGCTGGTCCTGGACCCCCTGACCTTGAGCAATCCTCCTGCCTTGGCCTAACCAGCAGTGCTAGGATTACAGGCGTGAGCCACCGCGCCTGGCCGAGCTCAGCTCTCTTCCCCGCGTCCCTGCTCAGCCGACCTCGGCCACCCCTCGGGCTCTGCTCCTCCGGGCAGGACAACACTCCGAAAGAGGAAAGTAGCTCTACTCCTTTCTGATGGCTTCCTCGCAAAGAGGGAGGAGTTTCTTTCAGACCACTTTCCAGTTGCTGTCGAAGCCCAGGTCCCCGCGGGTTGCTCCCCACCCGCGTCCCGCCCGCGCCGCCGTGCGCGTTCTCGGAAGAAGGTCGGAAGTGTGGGAGCTTCAGGCCGTGCGTGAGGGAGAGTCCGTGAGTGCCGGGGAGGAGGAGAGAACAGACGTGCACCGAGGGACCGCGGCATAAGACGACAGAGGTGACCACGGCGATGTGCCGTCCGCAGCTTGAGGCCACGGTGAGGTCAAACTCCCACTAACCCTCGACAAAGGTCAAGCTGCGAATCCACAGCACAGGGCGGGCGCCGTGCTGCTTGCTGCCTTGGGGGAGGCGGCCCAGAGCGAGGCTCACGGCGGGCCGGTCGCCACGGCAGCCACACTACGTCACCCGGGAGGACGACACAGGGCGGAGGACAAGCCGTGCCTGGCGCCCCTCGTCAGCCACCAGGCGAGAGCAGGACCGCGCCCCTCAGACACGCAGGAAGCACCGTCCGTCACGGCTGTGCAGGAGAAGGCAGGTGGCAGTTTGAGGGCAGCCGTGCAGAGCCCGGGGCTGCTGCCTGCAGGGTCTCTGGCTTGAGGCGGCCTCCTGGGGCTGGATTCCACGTGACTGCAGAATACGCCTCGTGCGCTCACACAAGCCCGGCCCACGCCAGGCGTTCCCAGAAGCCTGAGGCGCGGAGCCCCTAAAATCCAGACGGTTTCTGGACAACCGAATCGCCCTGTATGTGAGCCCTCCTCGCGTGTTCGGCGGACACAGGGGCACCCCCTTGGCACGCTCCATGAGAGGAAGCCAGGCGGACCCTGAGAGGATGGCAGCGGACCCTGCGGCCCCGGCTCGGGCGGCTCCAAGGCCCATCCGTGCGTCTCAGCCCAGGATCTCCGTCGCAGCCCTGGCAGGCGGCCCCGGTGTCCTTGCCACCAGCCTCCTTTCCTTGGCGGCTGCCCACCCTCACGGGGCACGGCTGGTGCGGCTGCCATGGGGGTCAAGTCGGACGAAGGACGGCACGGTCCCCGACCGCAAAGCGCCGGGCAGACGGCGCCACGCGAGCCGTAGGTTCCCCACAGTGGGTCACCTGCTCTGACTCCCAGACGACCCCCGAAAGGCGCAGGGACGCCTCACCCCCTTTCTGCACACAGGGGAGGCTGTGCCTGCGGGAGCCACCCTGGGCAGCTGGGCAAAACCCCGGCAGACAGAGCGCCTGGTGTCCCGCCGAGAGCCAGAGCCCGTCTCCACCCATCGCCCCCACAGGCCGGAGCCGCTGGGCCCACCCACCCTGGGCAGAAACGCGCCCTGGCACGAGCGGCCGTTCCCCAGAGCAGGGGACCCCGCCGGGAGCCGGAAGGCGAGAAAAGGCGCAGGGCCACCTTGTCCACAGCTGCCCGGGCAGGTGCCGCCCAGAGAACCAGCCCGAGCTCTGCGCACAGCACACGGGGCGGCGGACGCACCTGGCTGCTTCTGCCGGGGCTTGGGCAGGTTGGTGACGCAGGTGTGGGGGCACATGAGGACGTTGCAGGGGTGCAGCGAGCCCTCCAGGAAGAGCTGCTTCGTCTCCGACAGGTGGATCCCGCCGAGCGGGGTCTTCGGGAGCGTGTTCGCCGGCACCAAGGCCAGGCAGTAAACGCCGACTTGATGGATGCTGTCGATCGCCTGGGGGAGCGAGGGGGAGACCGAGTCACAGCAGGAACTATAAATGGGAACGCTCGGCAAATACAGGTATCATGCAAAACACTGTCTACGACTGGGAGGAGTCTGTGGCGCTCGCTCTGTTCCCAGCGCAAAAACACCAGGAGAACTTTTGTTTTTAATCTGAACTCATTGGGCTGAACAGTTTAACACAGGACTTGCAAAAGACCCTAACAGTAAATGAGGAAATTGAGAGAAAAGAAACGAACTCCCAACATGACCACAGGGAGCAGCTTTGCAAAGTCCTGATCTAGCCCCGACTAGGAAAGTGTCTTGGACACCGTACGTGCTTTCTGGTCAAACATGGGGAGGGAGGCGGGTGCGGTGGCTCACGCCTTTAATCCCAGCACTCTGGGAGGCCGAGGCGGGAGGATCGTTTGAGCTCAGGAGTTCGAGACCAGCTGAGCAAGAGCAAGGCCCCGTCTCTACTAAAACAAAGGAAGAAATTAATTGGACCTCTAAAAATATATCGAAAAAATTAGCCGGGCATGGTGGCGCATGCCTGTATTCCCAGCTACTCGGGAGGCTGAGGCAGGAGGATCGCTTAAGCCCACGAGTCTGAGGTTGCTACGAGCAAGGCTGACGCCATGGCACTCTAGCCCAGGCAACAGAGTGAGACTCTGTCTCAACAAAACACGGGGAGGGAGAAGGGACCCCACGCTGCGCAGCCACAGCTGGTCAGGGCCAGGCCCCAGCCCTGACCCTAACGAGCAAGGGGGCAGACGCGACCTGGAGCACCCTGCTCATCCACTGGAAGCTGTCCTCCTCCGTGGAGTCCGGCCTCTGCTCCGCCACGATCACGATCCTGTCGTCGTGGAGGACTGTCACTGAGAACACAGCTATCCTGCGGGGACAGAGGGCACGGGTGAGTGGGTCTGGCGGACAATCTCACAGCAGGCGTCATGGCTCCGACGTCTGCTCCAAAGGCCACCGCGATTCCAGCCCCACGCTCAAGGCAAGAACGGCGGGGGCCGCACGGTGCCTGTGGGCTGGGGGCAGGGGTCTTCCTGCAGCACAGGGGGCTGAGTGACGACCACCAGACCTGCTGAGGTCAGGGGGCCGCGCCACTCGCATGTTGGCCTCCCCCACATCAGCAGCAGCTGCCTGCCCGGACTGCCGCTTCCTGCTAAATGCTTCTGTCGCCGTTGGCACACAGCTGCGCAGCTCGACACTCCTGTGCTCTCTGCACGGACAGGCCGTGGCTTTTTTTAAAGAGGACTCAAGGTGGCAAGGTCACATCCAAGCCCCCACTTTCTCCCTCCTGAGCCTCCAAACTAACGTACAGTTCTAACAGTTACTACTTGCTTCGGACCAGCAAAAAAAACCTCAAGAGCTGCAGCCACTGACCCAGCGAACTGCTTAGCCTCCCCCGTGTGCCGGGTGAGGAGGGGCAGAGGAAAACGGGGGAGGCAGGAGTCGGTGAGGTCAGCTCTTCCGAGCACATCTGAGACTCAGCTTCCGTCTGTGGGTCTCTCCGGCCCGCATTGAGGAGAGTGTGTTTGCACCTTTGACTTGGGGAGTTATTAGAGGTTTTCAGATGGATCGTTTCATTTAACTTACAGGGAAAGTGAGCGAAAACATATTCATGAGGCTCAGGAAATTACATAAACTCTTGTGCGTTCAGAACTAGGTGAGCTCTCAGAGGTCTCTGAGTCCTGCTGCTTCAACTGCACAGAAGGGGAAACTGAGTCACGATAAATGCGGCGTCTAGGCAACCATTACACCCTTCCCGCCCACGTAAAAAGCACGGTCTGCACGGGAAAACGCGAGCAAGCGCCACCGACCTTCCCCTGTAGACGAACTTCATGGGCTCCACGGCCAGCGCCGTGGCCACGATGTCGTCCGCGTTGTGCCGGCGCCCGCCGACCACCATGAGGCCGTCCATCTTGCCCACCACGAAGACGAGCCCCCCGGGGCCCACGAAGCCCAGCAGGCCCGTCCTGATGAAGGGGTACTCGCTGATGGGCGCCCCCGAGCTCGTCATGGGGAACACCTGGGGACACAGCTGGCGTCAGGCCACCCGCTGTGGCCACCGCGGCCCGAGTCCACGCCCGGGCCACCTGCCGGCCCCCAAGGTGGCCTCAGCCTCCACCCACCCACGGCCCCGAGTCCACACCCCGGCAACCTGCCGGCCCCCAAGATGGCCACGGCCTCCACCCACCCACCCATGGCCCCGAGTCCAGGCCCGGGCCACCTGCCGACCCCCAAGGTGGCCTCGGCCTCCACCCACCCACCCACCCACGGCCCCGAGTCCACACCCGGGCCACCTGCCGGCTCCCAAGGTGGCCTCCACCCACCCAGGGCCCCCTCGGGGGGTCAACAGCCCTGCACCTCCGGGAAGCACAGGGCCTCACGCAGGCCCCTCCCACGGAGGACACGCAGGGGACCCAGACGTCACGACCCCACGCTCAGGAGCACCAGTGAATTCTCCTGTTTATAAACCCACAGCATAAAAGCAACTCATGAAGAATCAAGGTGCATTTTAAACAGCCCGCGTCAGCTGTATCTAATCCCCGTTCATTAGATTGCTACTTTTCCTGTAGGAAGTGTGCTGAGAAGAGAAACGTAAAGGAGCACAGAGTCTCAACCTCTTCCCTCCACCCTGCGGCCCCGTCGCAAGAGGGCTCTGTGTTCAGACTCGCATGCACCTCTGGGGTCAAGCGATGTTCTAGAAAGTCGAATTCTCGTTGCACAGAGCCAGCCTGGACGGGCACCAGGACACAGCCGCTCAGCCACAACTGAAGTCCTACACGTCTGGGGACGCCACCCCACAGCACTGCCCCGGCCGGGAACCACGTGGTGAGAGGATGAAGGTTCTGAGAACCCCAGGACACGGCCACAGCTCGGGAGTCTAACCCTCACGCCTCTGTCACTGCGCAGCACACGTGCACACCACACACGCCTCCACACGTGTGCGTGCCATGTATGTGCCCCACATCTGCATACACATGCCTGGAAACCCCCCCGCACGTGTGCGCACAACCTACACAATGCCTGCCACACACATGTGCATACACACGCCTGCCACAATCCCCACGTGTGTGTACGCCACACACACCCCACACATTTAATGCACACGTGTGTTCAAGTCTCAGGTCCATGCTGGCCACGTCTGGCTTAGCTGAAAGGCTGTGGGGGCGGCCACTGGCCCTCCCCAGGTGAGGCTGTTCACGCACACGCGTGTACACATGTCCTTCATCACCCACCTCTCGCCTCACACCTCTACTAAACAGGAAAAGGCGAGTAACAAGTTTTAAAACTTTGCCCATTTTTAAGAAGTCATGATTATCCTCTCTTGACACCAGTTATACAGTGAGAGTGATGCTGATAAAATTATCAAAAGCAATTAAAAAAAGGCAGGAGAAAGTGCAACCATTTTCACGACCATAAACGTGTTTTATTGGACAGCTACCCGCTCACGTCCCGCTGCCGAGCTCAGGCGCCTGGAGGCGGCCCCGGGGGGCTCGCGGCCCCCACCTACCTCGAAGGTGTTCTTGGTCATGCCCGAGAGGCCGTAGTAGGAGGTCCCGGTGGCCACCGCACACACGCAGAGCTCCCCGATCTCGTCCGTCCTGCACAGCTGGGGGACCCCGTCCGGCTTCACCGAGCACATGATGGCTGCAAGAAAACGGCGCACACGCGTGTCAGCCGGCGGGGAAGGAGCAAACGAGTAAGAGGAGGACACGTGTGAGCAGAAAGAGTGGCTGGAGCCAACTGCACGCGTCACCGTCAGCTGGCTACCCACGTTCCCTAAAGGGACTCGCCATTTCTCACGGCGCGGCAACCTGTCAAACTTCACGGCTGTGGAACATCAGCACGTGGCTTCAGTGGCTTTAGTTTTAACATGAACACTGTATGTGAGGGGAACAGCATCTGCCGTGTGGATGTGAGGGTGGCACGCAGAGTGACGGGAGAGCGCCTGCCACAGGCGTGTTGTCGGCAGGGTGGGCGTGACTCCCAGGGTGCAACTGGAATCTGCGGATTAAGAAGCGCGAGACACTCGCTGCAGTCTGTCAGAGCTTCTCTCAACTGAGAGCAGTATCTAAGCTCACAGTGTCCCGTGGAAGTCCCGATCTCTGATTCCACATTCCCCGCAAGGCGAGTCCTGCGAAGACGGCTGCTCAAAGGCTGCGCCACGTAACCCGATGACGGGAGCGGCCCGCGGATGCCCCGGGGCTGGAAGGGAGGATTTCCACCGAGCAACCTCTGGACTCTTTCAAAGATTCCGCTCGGGCCTCTATCATTTACTTCCAATTTAAATGCATTATTTAAAGAAAGAAATGCAGCCGGAGGCCTGGCCGAGGCTCGGGCCTCTATCATTTACTTCCAATTTAAATGCATTATTTAAAGAAAGAAATGCAGCCGGAGGCCTGGCCGAGGCTGGGCACACGCCGGCGGACACGGCTGCTGGTGGACGGAGGGACAGGCAACGCCGCGGCGACCCGGAGGCTCCCGGTGCACGGAGACCGCACGTGGAACTGCAGGGCGCCGAGCGCTGGGAGTGCCCAGGGCCCGTCTGTTTCTCTCGTGCCTAGACAGCAAGCAGCCCCCACCCCAGACCCACAGGGGCCGTGTGGCCATCGCCCCTCCAGGCTGGGATCCCTGCGAAGTTTCTCGCATATGCTGAACACACGTGCCCAGGGCTGTCCACACTGGGCGTGGCCGTCCTGCCACGTGGGTGAGGCCACACCTGTGCGTGGAGGGGCCGCTCAGGAGAGCCGGGTCCTGGGCGGGGACCCCAACTCCATTTCAGGGGCAGACAAGGAGGAGCCTAAATGCTGACGCCTGTGGTCCTGCAAGCCAGGGCCCAGGTGAGCGCACCGTGCAAATGAGAGTGGTGGCGTCTCGCACGTGGCCCCCAGGAAGCGCCCAAGTCACCATGTGTGAGATGGAAGGGCAGGCGGGGCCATCACCGTGCATCCCTGGAAGGGGTTTCTGTGGCTTTAAAAAAATGGCTTTGGCCGGGTGCGGTGGCTCACGCCTGTCATCCTAGCACTCTGGGACGCGGTGAGCGTCTGGCACTCGACAACCACGCCCGAAACCTGAAGGGAAGCCCGAGAGCTCGCACCAGAGGGATGGGGTGACGCGTGACGGACGAGCTCTCGGGCCACTCCGCAGCCCGCGGGGCGGGGTCGGGGTTGGGGTTGGGGTCCCCGCCCCCCGCCCTGCTCACCTCCGGGCATCACCAGGCCGACGTCCTGCACCGTGAGCACGGACAGCTTCTCCTCCGAGTCCACGCGGATGACCCCGTAGGTCAGCCCGTGCATGGAGAGCACGCCCCGGCCCGGGGGCTGGTTGCTGTCGTCCGTGGGCCTGGAACGGCAGTGTTACCTGAGCGCGGCAGAGCGCGTCGGCCCCCGCCCTCCCTGCCGCGCCCCGAGCCCGTACCTCCGGATGGCCACGGTGAGCGCCTCCGGCGAGCTGGCGCAGGGACAGATGACCTCCTGCCGGAGGCCTTTGCTTTGGAAGACGTTGAGGAACGCGTCGCAGGAAGAGATGGACCCTGGAGCAGAGAGGGTGGGGGTCAGAGGGCAAGGGTCAGAGGGCAAGGACAGGAGGGCTGAAGCGCCGAGACTGGCCGAAGATCAGCCACGACGCGGGACCGCTCTGCAGTCAGGGCTGGGCGCCGCTGCTGTGGCCACGAAAGATGAGCTTCCCGGACTCTCAGAACTCAAGAACGCGGCTGACGTCACTTCCACGCTCTAACCCTGACCCGGACCCTGACCCTAACCCTAAGGAGACCGGCAAGCTTCTTCTACTGAGACTCGCTGCACCGTCTGCAAGACACAAGTCCCAAGAGACGGGCAGATCTGGACGTGACCAAGCGAAGGACATGCCCCCTGCGTTAACTTGAACGAGAGACTGAGGCACGGCGGGAGCCTCCCCGCTAAGCCACCCCCACACGGCAGGTGTACCCAGCTCCGTGTAAGGTGTGCCGCTCTACCAAGTTATGTGTAAACCTGTTCACTAAATTTTTAGCTCACGATTTATGGATTCTACAAACAGAAGAATTCTTTGTAAGATGTATCTGCTACACGCCTACTTCTGTATGTCAAGTTTATAGTGTGTACGTTTCATGGTTCATAAATGGGGTCGGAAACATTCGCTCTTTCATCCAATTCACTTTGCTTCTGGCTTTGTGTCTCCCTTTCCCCAAAACAAGTTAGGTCTTTGTTCCAGCCAACTGAAAGGTTTCTCAAGGTGTAGTAACAGTTTTCTGCAGAACTGCTAATTCACGTTGAGTGTTTTTTTGTTACGGGATGTGATAATTAAATCACATTAAAAGTGACAATTTACTGATCAACGACAGCACCAGAGACCCTAAAATAACAACACTTGTTGTTTCCTGAGCACTTACTATGTACCGAAGAACTACACTTAGGAGTTGCTTCGTTTAGTCCTCATAAAACTTATTTAGGGACTATTGACGGCTGAGGAAACGGAATTAAACGAGGAACTCTCTCCAAAGAACCCAGACGTCTCTCCTCTGACCACGACTGTGTGCCTACAAGTGGCTCCTGGCCATGGGGTTACCGCGCCTTCAGGCTACAGTGAATAGCACTGTCCAGTTATTTTAAGACAACTTCTATACTAAGATAAACACGAGAAAAAGGAAACTCAAAGTGCAAAGAATGAGGCTGCATTTCCTGCTCCTCGCCACGTCCTCGAGCCCAGGATCCGTGCCGCCCTGCCAGGGCATCCCAGGTCGAATTCAAGAAAGCTGCAGAGGAGTTTAAGCACCTCAAGACCAAGCCAGCGGGCGGTGAGAGGCCGTTCACCTACGGCCACTACCAGCAAGCGACCGTGGGCGATGCAAACACAGAACGGCCTGGGATGCTGGGCCTCAAAGGCCAGGCCAAGCGGATGCCTGGAAAGAGCTGAAAGGGACTGCACCACGGAGACGCCATGAAAGCCCACATCAACAGAGTAGAAGAGCTAAAGGAAAAATATGGAACATAAGAGACTGGATCTGGCTGCCAACCACGCATTGAACCTAAACTGATACGATGCCTTGTTTACTCTAGTACTGTGGATGAGGTGGAATAGCGAAGACAGCCAGGTAACCCAGTTCCTCAAGGCTGCTCAGGATGCAGCTCAAACAGACCAGGGGCTAAAACGACTACTGACCTTTCTTTCCTAAGTAGTTTTTATCTGAGATCAATTAAAAGTATATCTGTCGGCTGGGCGCGTGGCTCACGCCTGTAATCCTAGCACTCTGGGAGGCGGAGGTGGGAGAATTGTTCGAGGTCAGGAGTTCGAGACCAGCCTGAGCAAGAGGGAGACCCCCGTCTCTACTAAAAATAGAAAGCAATTAATTGGCCAACTAAAATATATGGAGAAAATGTTAGCTGGGCATGGTGGTGGCATGCCTGTAGTCCCAGCTACTCGGGAGGCTGAGGCAGGAGGATTGCGGTTGCTGTGAGCTAGGCTGATGCCACAAAACTCACTCTAGCCTGGGCAACAGAGCGCAACTCTGTCTCAAAAAAAAAAAAAGTCAAAGTGCAAAGAACGAGAAGGAGAAACCGAGGCTCCCGGGACAAGTCAGGCTCACGGCCGGCCGCACTCACAGGGGTTGGCCCCGTCCGCCACGATGAGCATCCGCAGGGAAGACAGGTTGACGTCCCTCTGGTCCCTGTGCGCGACCAGCGCCCAGTGCATGTCCCTGGACTTCACGCAGGCCACCTTGGCTGGGAAGAAAAGCAGAGGTCCGTTAACTCACGCCGGCAGCCCGACCCGCGCTGAAAAGGGGGGACCGCGATGAGGGGAGGGCACCTGAGCTCTGTCCCCAAGGCCCCGCGGCCACCGACCTTTGTACTGGCAGACCTTCTGGATCCAGGAGAGCGGGTTCACCTTCATCAGCGAGTAGGGGATGCTGATCACGTGCATCATGTTCATCACGCTCTGGGGGCACAGACGCCGGGCGTGAGCAGCGGGGCAGGCGGAGGGACGCCTGGGGCGAGGACACGGATACCCCCCCAGGGGACTGGGCACGAGAGGACCTCCCGGGGAGCAGGAGGCTGCCGGCGCTGCCCGGGCATGAGCCACAGGGCAGAGACCCCGAGGCGCCCCCGTCCCCTCCGCCCTTCCCACAGCACTCCTGGCAGAACCGGGGAGTGTAACTCCAGATCCTCTTTTATTAGATAAAACCCTCCAGTTGAATGATCGTCATTTTTAAACGCACTCTCGTGTTCTGCAAGCTTAATTCTTTCTAGTGTGTCACGCCAATTTGTATCTCACAGAATTAATTTAGTGAATTGAATGCTACCCTGGACGTGAGGGGCAGCAGAAAGTCTGTCTGAATCACACTCAGTCTTCCACGTGGCCTTGCTAACGCAGACCAGGGCACCCCGAAAGGGGCCGTTTCTCTTATTTATTTACCGTTTTGAGACAGAGTCTTACTCTGTTGTCCAGGCTAGAGTGAGTGCCGTCGTGGCGTCAGCCTAGCTCACAGCAACCTCAGACTCCTGGGCTCAAGCGATCCTCCTGCCTCAGCCTCCCGCTGTCCAACTAATTTCTTTTTTTTTTTTTTTTTTAGCAGAGATGGGGTCTCGCTTGTGCTCAGGCTGGTCTCGAACCCCTGACCTCGAGCACTCCTCCCTCCTTGGCCTCCTAGCCTGCTAGGATGACAGGTTGAGCCGCTGAGCCTGGCCAAGCTATTTCTTTTAAACAGACGACTAGAATAAACTGAAAACACCGGCAAGCACCTCCGAGCCGTGGCCAGAACTCGGCACATGCAGTGGCGCCCAGCGGGAAGGCCACGGGGGACCGCGGACCGCGGGCATCGGGGGCTTGTGAGCTGCAGGGGGGCTGGGGACCCACCGCTCTGCAGAGCCATCAGCTAGACCCGGGGAGCGCCCGAGGGCAAGGGTGACCCCTGCCCTCCAGGAGCCCGGCATGCCGGGGGCGCAAGGGCTCGTCCGCCCACTCACCGTCAGAATCCCGTGCCAGAGCCCCACGTCCTTCTTGAAGTCCAGCACGTTCACGATGGTCTCCGCTGCGTGAGAGGAGGAGGCAGGTTTAACTCACGGTGGGCGGCTTGGGCCGAGAGGCAAGCAAAATCTGACGTCCCGTCCCGTCGGAGGGGAACGGGGCCTGGGGGGACAACACCGCCCCCCGGACCTGGGCAGAGACCCCGCAGCCTCCAGGGGCCCAGAGACCCGAGGTCCCCGAGAGCGCGAGCTCCCACGGGGCACCGGGCGCGGGGAGCTCCTCCCCGTTTACCCGTCCCCCCTGTTTTCTCTTTTCCTTTCTGATAGAAGGTGCCTTTCCCCTCGCTCGTGAGCGTCTCCCAGGAAGGCAGGTGCCGCCAGCGCAGGGCCTTGCAAAACGCGGGCCTCGCCGGCCGCTGGGGTCCAAGAGGCCGGGCGTGGGCGGCGAAGGACGGCCCAGCTTGGGGACAGGGACGGACACGCCTCGAGGACGTGGGCAGAGGGAGCTAAACACACGCCCGGGAACAATCCCTGTCGGGACTCGGCAGCGCGGCTGAGCTCCAGCGCGAACAAGGCTGGCGTCCCCCTGAAGCCGCCGTCCCCGTCACCGATGGACTGAGCCCCTACCCCCGCGTGTCACCAATGCCACGTCCCGTGCTCGCTCTCCGTCCCGCTCAGAGGGCAGCGCCCGCAGGGGAGGAGAGGCCCTCCCTCCCCAAGTGCACGCGTGGACGGGCCAGGCGAGGACAGGAACCAGCCCCGAGGGGACCCGACTCGGTCTCCAGCCCAGAGGCCTCGAGGACACGCTTGCCATTTAGGCTGCCCATCTGGGGCGTGTCACCACGGCAGCCGAGCTGACACCCCAGCTCGACAGCTCAGTGGGTGGCGTTCCGCAGGGCTGGGCGTGACCTAACGCCACTGTCAGGGCCCCCAGTCTGAGTGCCGCGGTGTCTGCGCCGGGCGTCCCCGTCCCGGGGGCCCCAGTCCCTGCGCCGGGCGTCCCCGTCCAGGGAGACCTCACACCACCTGTCCACGGGGACCTCACACCACCCGTCCCGGGGGCCGCGGTGTCTGCGCCGGGCGTCCCCGTCCCGGGGGCCGCGGTGTCTGCGCCGGGCGTCCCCGTCCATGGAGACCTCACACCACCTGTCCACAGAGACCTCACACCACCTGTCCACAGGGACCTCACACCACCCGTCCCGGGGGCCGCGGTGTCTGCGCCGGGCGTCCCCGTCCACGGGGACCTCACACCACCCATCCTGGGAGCCGCTGTTGGCGCGGAGGGGCCGCCCACCTTCCGTGTAGCCGCACGCCTGGGTCAGGGCTTGGCAGTGGGTCAGCAGCGCGATCCTGGTCACCGTCACGCCCAGCACGCTGCCGTCCTTGCAGGTCTTGTACTGCAGGAGACAGGGGGCCTTGAGAGGGGGTGACCGCCTGCCACAAGGGCCTGCCCAAAGCACCGACGGGGGCAGATCCCGCCATTCC